CTGGGGGGGGGGGGGGGGGCACCAGAAGTTGACATCGCGGCTCTCGGTTTGGAGCGTGCACGTGCCCTTCTTGAGCCTAACGGTGCTGGGGTGGGGGTGAGGAGATAGAGCAGGGCATTCCGGGGGCACCCACGTGTGGCTGCTGTGCGCGGGGAGCGGGGTGTGCGCCCTCTGATGTCGCCTAGCGACTCGGGCACGATCCTGTGGCGCGGGGAAAGAGCGGCGGGGCGGGGGTGGGAGCGGGACTAGGGGTGGGAGAGTGGGTTTCGGGGAGAGTGCTTCGTATGTGCGCCACGGCGGAACCTCCCGCGTGCGTGTGGGTGCCCCTCCCCCTCTACTGCCCCTCTCGCGCGAGCCCTCAAGCTGAGGCTCCTCGCTCTCACCCGTAGAGCTTGGTGCGGTCCACGGCCAGGTACTCGAGGCCGCTGAACATGTCGACCGAGGCGGGAAGGGTGCCTGTGTGGGCGGGAACACCCGAGCCGCGCAGTCAGCCGGGCGTGCGGCGCGGAAGTGGCGGGCCCGCGAGGGGCGTCTCTGCGCCCGAGACGTCCGAGTTGGACAGGTCGAGTGTCTTGAGCTTGGGCACCGCCTTGTCGAGGCTCGGGATGGTGCCGCCGACCTTGGTCCGCTTGAGGTCGATCTTTGTGATGGTGTCGTGCGAGAGGCACTCCGTAGGCAGCGTGCCGGAGACCCGGTTGGCACGGCGGAGGACCAGCTCCTCGAGCTTCTCGCCCTTGCACAGCTCCTCCGGCACGCTGCCCGAAAGGCCGACCTCCTCGAGGATGAGCAGCCTGAGCGGCGCGGTGATCTTGCTCGGCAGCGTGCCAGAGATGCGCGTCTTCTTGGCGGAGATTTCCTGCGCGGCGGGAGGGGGGAGAGACGCGCTGGCCTAGCGTCTGGGCTGCGGCGTGGCGTTGTGGAGAGCATGTGGAGCAAGGAGGAGCGGCGGCGGAGATCCGAGCGCGGGATGGTTTGCGGCCGAGCCGAGGGCGGCGGAGCCGAGTGCAGCGGTGCCGAGGGCGGCGGAGCCGAGTGCGGCGGTGAGGAGCGGCGGCGCCTCGAGTGTGGACAAGAGGAAGCACTCGGGCGGCAGCGTTCCTACGCGGGACACGGCCCCGGACCACTCGTCACCTGGGCCGCCCGCCGAGCCCGGACCTCCCGCCGGCGCCGCGCGCGCCCGAGAGCTTCACGTTGTCGTCGAGAACCAGTTTCCTGAGCGAGCCGTCCGACCTGTGGCACAGCTCGCCCGGGACCGTCCCCGAGAGGCGCTTGGAGAGGAGCGTCACCTTCTCCAGCGCGGGAAGCCGGCCGAGCTGGTGCGGAATGGTGCCGCTGAACTTGCCGGTGGTGAGACTCAGCTTTTGGAGCGCGGTGAGCTGGGTCAGTTCCGCGGGCAGCGTGCCCGAGAAGGAGCGGTCCCCCTCCTTGCCCAAGTCGAGGGACTCGAGTGTGCCGGCGAGCGGTAGCAGCAGGGCGCCGGGCAGCGTGCCGCTACTGCCAAACTCGGTGCCGCCCCGGAATTTGATCTTGGTCAGGGTGGCGCCCGCTTTCCACCCTTCTTTTTGGCCGAGGGGCGGGCTGGGTGAGCCATCCGGCTGCGTGCATCTCACCTGCGCGCGAAGGGCCTGGCCGTGAGGGCAGGGGAGCGGCCTGCGGCGAGGGTGAGAGCGCACACGTCGAGAAAGGCGCAGCAGGTCGAGCTCGTGTCCTTGAAGGACGGCGATTTGTCTTTCGCGCCGATGGCATCGTAGAAGCCGCGGAGCGCCTTGCAAGCCTCGGGCGGGGAGGCGACGAGGGCACAAAGGAGGGAGGAGATGACCATTTCGGCAGTTGCCGTGATGACCAAATTGGCGCTGTTCACATACACCTCCGGAGCTGTTCACATAGAACACCCCGGGCCCGAAATCGCACAGAGACAGTCACTGTTCACAGAGCCAATTTGGGAAGGAAGGCTTGCCTTCTTTAAGAATTCTTTTTGGTGTACCTGTGTTTTAAAGCAATAAAGGGACGAACCACGGGACGAACTTCCACACAGAATTTCACTAGCAAGCTCGCTCGCACAGCACTGCGCACGGGACTGTGCTGCATTCCATGAAGGTAATCCTCGTCGACCAGTATGTATGTAGGAAGGTGAAATGCAGTCGCCCTCACTCCCAAGGACCCGAACCCGGCTCAATCACCATACTCGAGTAGAGGCCTCAGCTTCGCAAAAAAGACCCGATGCGCGGCGGCCTGCGACGGCCCGGGATGAGCTCCCCACGATGCGACTAAGCGAGATCAATTGACCTACTGGACCTATAGTCCACCCCTATCATGTCTATACTGACTGCAGACGACCACATGCCACACAGCATCACGCACAAGCACAAGACCCGGGATCGCAGAAAAGACCCGCGGTGCTCACACACACCCACGCGCTCGTGCATGCCGAACCAGCTCTAAAAAAATACCACCGGAAGCGCCTCGCCGAGGCGCACAATAGTCCTCAGTCTGGCGAAGGCCAATTCTGTCATCCTGGGCGTCAGCAGCGTGCGACGACAGCGGTCTTCGCTGCGGAGCGGTCTTTTTTGCGAGGCTGAGGCCTCTCGGGCAAAATTTGTTGACCACGGCTGTGAGCACATCGGCAAGCGAGTCACGCGCCGCTTCGAAGGTGTTAATGTCGGAGGCGTCGTGATCGCGTGGGCCCCGGCCGACGGCCAAGATGAGGCGCGCTACCGCGTGCATCACGACGACGGTGATGAAGAGGACCTCGATCGGCAGGAGCTGGAGGACGCCTTGGCGCTGGCCGCCAATACTCAAGGGCCGATTCCTCGCCGTGCCAACCTCATTCTTCCAGGTCGAGGCGGGGTTCTACCTGGCGCGATGCACTAGCGTCAGCGCCGGCGGCTGCGTGTGGCTGAGGTACGTCTCGGACAACTACTCGCACTGGGTGCCGCACGCGATCGCGAGCAAGTGGCTCATCAGCGACAGCGAGGCGCGCCGAGGCGACTGGGTTGGCTCTGGCGGCGTCGATATTTCGCAGCCGGTGCCCAGGCTGAGGATGTGGGGGAGGCGGATGAGGCGGGCGAGGCGGGCGAGGAGGGCGACGGTGAGGAGCAGGACGTCGCTTCTGCCGCCGCCCGCCGAGACCTCGCGCAGCGCAGCAGCGGGCGGCGCCGCTCGGTGCCCGCTCGCTTCGTGGCGGAGCCCTCTTTGCAGGGCGACGAGTCGCAGCTCGAGTTCGTCGAGAAGCTGCTGCTGCCGGCCGCGCAGGAGGCGGTGCCACAGCAGCATGCGGTGGCGCCGCCGCCAGAGGCTGCCATGAAGTTTGGAGTCGGAGATGCGGTGCTGGGCAAGTTTGGCCCCGACGACGAGGGCAGGACGGGCGGCGTGCTCGACAAGTGGTACCGCGCCGTCGTCCGCGCCGTCAACGCGCCTCTGATGCCGCCGGCCGACCGCCCTGCCGTGAGCAGCGCCTCTTCACACCTCCGACTCTGTGACGGCCTCAAGCCGGCGGTCGGCACCAAGAACGCGCGGCACCATATCGTCTGCATCCAGAACGCGGTCGAGCAATCCGCGCTATTCGAAAAGGCGCTGATCGACATGTGGGCGGCGAAGACACCGCAGCAGGCGCACGCCTTCCTCTCCAAGCCCGACGTCACCGTGAACAGGCGGACGGCACGTATTCCCTCGAGTACGAGGACGGCGACAGCTGGGAGCAGGTGCCACGCGTGCACGTGATGGCGCGGAAGTGTCCGCGCGGCGACGAGGCGTCTTCGGCATCGATGGAGGCGGAAGAGCCGGCAGCAGCGCAGCGAGGCGGCGGGGAGAAGAAGCGCGGCCGCCCGTTGGGGAGCAAGAAGGCGAAGCCCGCCAAGAAGGGGGTGCCGAAGCGGGGCGCCAAACCGAGAGGCAGGCCTCCGCACGGGTGCTCGTGGAGCGAGAAGCAGAGCGCGTACGTCAACGACGAGCAGGCGGGCGTTCGGCGCGCCGCGGCGGCGGAGTCGGAGGAGGAGGCACAGGCGGAGGAAGGGGAGGGCCCCGGCACGCCTCCCGGCACGCCGCCGCCGGAGGCAGCGGCGGCGGCGGCGGCGGCGGCGGCAGAGGAGGAGGAGGAGGAGGGCGAGGAGGGCGAGGAGGGCGAGGAGGGCGAGGAGGGCGAGCAGCAGCAGCAGCAGCAGCAGCAGCAGCAGCAGGAGGAGGAGGAGGAGGAGGAGGAGGCTCCGGTGGCGGAGGCGGAGGGGCTGAAGCTGCACCTCTCGAGCAGCGGCAGCACCGGCTACAAGGGCGTGTTCCAGCACCACTCTGGCCGCTTCCAGGCGAAGCACAGGGTGGGCGGAAGGCAGGTCCACATCGGCATCTTCGGCACGGCGGTGCAGGCGGCGGTGGCGTACGCGCGGGCGGTCGGCGAGTACCAGCCTCAACCTCCTCCGACAGTGGCGACAGAGGCGGAGGGGCTGAAGCTACACTTGTCCGACAAGAGCGCTACCGGCTACAAGGGCGTGCGCGAGATGGAGTCCGGTCGCTTCTACGCCACTCGCAAGGACGGTGGACAGGACGAGTACCTCGGATCCTTCGACTCGGCGGTGGAGGCGGCGGTGGCGTACGCGCGGGCGGTGGGGCAGGCGAAGCTGGAGGCGGGCGAGGAGGAGGAGGAGCAGGAGGAGGGCGATGAGGAGGAGGGCGGTGAGGAGGAGGGTGGGGAGGAGGAGGAGGAGGAGGAGGAGGAGGAGGAAGAGGAGGAGGAAGAGGAGGAGGAGGAGGGGGAGGCGGAGGAGGAGGGTGGCGCCCCAATCTACCAGGTCGACAAGATCGTCGAGGAGCGCGTCGAGGGCGGCGGCCTCGAGTACCGCAGTGGAGGCATGTCCAGCACACGTCCATGACACGTCCGAGACATGTCCCATAGGCGGCGGCCTCGAGTACCGAATCAAGTGGCGCGGGTGGGGCAGCAGGTGGAACACGTGGGAGCCAGAGGGGCACATCATCGACCAGGTCATCCTCACGGAGTGGGAGGAGACCAAGGCGCGCCGCACGGCGTCGGCCGCCCGCTCCTCCGCCTCGGCCCCCCACCCCGACGAGCGCGACCAGCCTTTGCTGGCGGAGGAGGCGGAGGGGCTGAAGCTGCACTTGTCCAGCGGCAGCAGCACCGGCTACAAGGGGGTGCGCAAGCACACCCAGCAGGCTGGCCGCTTCGAAGCGCGTCACTGCGCGGGGAGCAGGACCATCTACATCGGCGTCTTCGACTCGGCGGTGGAGGCGGCGGTGGCCTATGCGCGGGCGGTCGGGCAGGCGCAGCCGGAGGCGGGCGAGGAGGAGGGCGAGGAGGAGGGGGAGGAGGGCGAGGGGGAGGGTGAGGAGGAGGAAGAGGAGGCTCCGGTGGCGGAGGCGGAGGGGCTGAAGCTACACTTGTCCGACAAGAGCGCCACCGGCTACAAGGGCGTGTGCTATGAGCACCAGCACGGCCGCTACCGAGCAACCCGCACTGAGGGGAGCAGAACCATCTACGTCGGCATTTTCCACACGGTCGTCGAGGCGGCGGTGGCCTACGCGCGGGCGATGGGGCAGGCGGAGCCGGAGGCGGGCGAGGAGGAGGGGGAGGAGGGGGAGGGGGAGGACAAGGAGGCTCTGGTGGCGGAGGCGGAGGGGTTACGGCTGCAGCTCTCGAGCAGCAGCAACACCGGCTACAAGGGCGTGTACGAGCACGCCTCTGGCCGCTTCCGTGCGAGGCACCAGCTAGGCGGGAAGCAGGTCTCCCTCGGCGTCTTCGACTCGGCGGTGGAGGCGGCGGTGGCCTGCGCGCGGGCGGTGGGGCAGGCGCAGCCGGAGGAGGAGCAGGAGCAGGAGCAGGAGCAGGAGCAGGGCGAGCAGGGCGAGCAGGAGGAGGAGGAGGAGGAGGAGGAGGAGGAGGAGGACGGCGGTGAGGAGGCTCCGGTGGCGGAGGCGGAGGGGCTGAAGCTACACTTGTCCGACAAGAGCGCTACCGGCTACAAGGGCGTGCGCGAGATGGAGTCCGGTCGCTTCTACGCCACTCGCAAGGACGGTGGACAGGACGAGTACCTCGGATCCTTCGACTCGGCGGTGGAGGCGGCGGTGGCGTACGCGCGGGCGGTGGGGCAGGCGGAGCCGGAGGAGGAGGAGGAGGAGGAGGGGGAGGAGGAGGAGGCTCGGCCGGGCGGGCCGCTCACCGCTGCCGACGCATTCGACGGCGCTGCGGTGGTGGTCTACTTCTCGGACGTGTCTCGCTGGCGCCGCTGCCGCCGAAGGCCGAGAGGGGGGAGCCCGCCCCTCCCTAACCTTCCCCTCCCCTTTTCTTGCAGGTACCGCGGCGAGGTGACGTCCGTCAACAACGACGGCACCTTTGGCGTGGCGTACGAGCTGTGAAGAGACGCTGTTCACACCTGCAGCTGTGAACAGGCACCTTTGGCGTGGCGTACGAGGACGGCGAGGAGGAGGAGGCGGTGCCGCTGGAGGAGCTCTTCCACGAGCTGCAGGCGAGATTCGCCGAGGTTAGTCGAGATTCGCCGAGATCCGGCGCGGAGATGCGCTTCCCTTCACACGAGGCGCCGGCGGGCGGCGGGTCGAGCCTGCAAGCGCGCCTCTCTGGCGCCTCTTCCCCGACCGCTTCTCGGAGCCCGTCCTCTAGGCGTGGCCACCGCCTGCCTCGTCCCCGACCCCGGCTGCTCCACCACCAGCGGCGCGCCCGCCCCTCGGCATGCCGGCCGTCGAGCGAGCACTCGAGGGCGTCGGGCTGGAGCGCTACGCGGCGGCGTTCGACGAGCAGGGTGCAACTTGCGGCGCTAGACTTGCCCGAGATCACCCGAGATCGCCCGAGATCACCCCGAGATCACCAGAGATCACCCGAGACCACCAGAGATCACCCGAGACCACCCCGAGACGCAGGTTACGACGACCTCGGCTACCTGCTCCATCTTGAGAGCTAGCGAGCGAGCCATTAGTTAGATAGAGGAGTGCGCGAGCCGAGATGTGTGGGGGCACGCAGCGCATATTTTTCGGTCTCTTCTTTGGGAAAGAATTCTCACCGTGGTCATATGTACGGCTTTTTACGGGGCCCTCTCGCGCTCGGACACCGACGAGACGTGCAGATGTACCTGTTCGAAACCTTCGGCGGGTGGTGCAACGCGGTCAAGCGGCTGTTCTACCAGATGAAGGACAAGGTGCGCAACAAGCTCTCGAAGCGGCAGCACGAGGACGAGGCGAGCTGGTCGACGCGGTCGTGGCTGTCGCTGCAGGCCCAGCGCATGTCAGTCGCGCTGCAGCTCGCGGCGGCGGAAGAGATTGCGACCGAGCTCAGGCTCGCCGCGGCGTCGGAGGACGCCGCCGTCGCCTAGACTCCCCTGCGTCACTACCTACGTACGTACGTGCCTCCCCGTCTTTGTAGCCTGGCGTTTGTGCCCCGTTTGTGCCGCGTCCCGTGCCCCCGAGTTCATCTTATAAACATTACGGGGCCCTCTTCGCTCTTGTGGCGCAAATTGCGACCATCATGTGCACCGTCCGTCAAACCCCCAAATACGGCGGCGCGCCCTGCCCAAGGCACGAAACGGACCTTGCTCAGCACGAAGCGCCGACCGACATCGGTGCTCGCAATGCCCGCCCACCCTGACGACGATGGCACTCGACGTTCCTGCACCTTCTTCATGCTGGAAGCTGAGTTCGTGCGCAAGTTCCCAGGCAAAAGCCTGCCCTTCTTCCAGGAGCTCCGTGACAACTTCACCGCTGACGAGCCGCTCGTCAAAGTGGCGCTCGACTACGCTGACGTGGTGAAGGGCACCCACATTGAGACGACTCTGGCAGTCTCTCACCGCTGGATGCAGCCGGACGATCCGGATCCCGGTGAGGTGCTCGATCGGTTGGTGCCGGCCCCGCTGCCCGGGTACGAGGAGGTGCACAAGACTCTCATGGGCCATGGGCATGGCAAGCTGGCCCGCGCGCTTTTCAAGGACGTCAAGCTGAGCGGCGAGGGGGCGTTTGCCTCCGCGGAGGAGCAAGCTCCGGTCGTCTCGACCGCCAAGGGCGACACCGCGGTGCAGACGCTGGCTCCAGGCAGGTGGAAGCTGGCAGAGATCCACAAGGGCGCGTCGCGGCAGGTCAACCTATTCCAGCTCCGAGCCGGCGGCCATGGCGGCGGCCACGGCCACGGTCACGGCCACGGCGAAGAGGGCGGCCACGGCGATCACGGCGGGCATGGCCACGGCGGACACGGAAGCCACGACGCACGCCACGCGGTCATGCATGGCGCCCAGATGGTTGTGCAGGCCTCGTGCTCCATCCCGCAGGACGGCCTTTGAGAGGGCCCTCACTATTCCCGCCGTACTAGGCGCTGCTACTCTTTTCGGCGCTCCAGCTGACGGTCATGGTGCTCTTCCTCAAGCCTTACGTGGACTGCTCCGGTCCAGAGCACCGCTGCGTGGGTTATACCCTGCTTGGGTTCACGATGCCGACCTGGTATGACCCCCGCATCGCGCTTGGCGTCCTGCCAATCCTCGTGACAATGCTGATGGTCGTGCCCGACATGCTCACGCCGATAATCTACTCGATGTCCGTTGAGGACCTTGTCGACATGGGCGCGCAGAAGCTCGTGCTACAGGAGATGAAGCTGGCGAATTTCGCGGTGGCCGCCAAGCTGCTCCAGAGCATGCGCTCCAAGACCCGCGCGGCCAACAACAGGAAGGAGGCGGCAAAAGGCGGCGGCGCGAAGCTACCTTCCGTGACCGACTACCTCGCGTCGCTGCCCAAGGAGAAGCAGAAGCGCGCTCATGAGCTCCAGGAGGTGTTCGCGGCGTTCGACTCGACTGGAGAGGCAGACGGGTCGCTCCAGTTGGGCGAGCTGGGCGCGCTGATGGCCTCCCTCGGCTCCAACCTCGAAGAAGCGGAGCTGAAGCAGCTGGTGGAGGAGCTCGACGTAAACAGCGACGGCGAGGTCTCGTTCGTCGAGTTCGCGATGCACATGCTCTCGGACGCGGAGGAGGAGCCAGCGGAGGAGGTCGCGGCGGCGATCTTTGATATGGTGGACAGCGACCGGTCCGGCTCAGTAACGCTGAAGGAGTTGCAGGTTGCTTTTGCAGCGCTCAATTCGGGCTTGACGGACGACGACACCACCGAGATCATGTCGCGCATGGACACGGACGGCTCGGGCAGCGTGGACAAACCGGAGTTTGTCAAACTGCTCACCAGCATCCTGGAGGAGTACGCGGCGGCGTGAGGGCCGTGAGCCAATGTGGCACATTTCCTTAGTTAGTTCGTTAGAGAGTTGAAGACACATGACCCTCTGGACGCCAGCGCATTCAAGGGATTTTTTCTTCTTTCTTGCACAACACTGGGTTAGTTCCAATGCGCGCCAGTCCCGTGCCCAGTGTGTGCGAGGGCGTTCGGGAAATTCTTTTTCTTGCGGCATGAGCGACCCCCTCCACCCAGCCCTGCTGCCAGAGCTGGCGGTGGGCGACCTGACCGCGCTGCGCGCCTTCCTCTCCGGGCGGCGGACGCGCGGCAGGCTCAACGCGCGGCTCGACACCGCGAAGCAAGACACGCTGCTCACCTGGGCCGCTCGTCACGGGCAAGCCGAGGCGGTGCGGCTGCTGCTCGAGGCCGGCGCGAGCGTCGGGGCGGCTGACGGCGAAGGCGCGTCCGCTCTCGTACTCGCGTGCGAGGCGGGCCGTCTCGAGTGCGCCCAGCTGCTCCTCGCCGCCGGTGCGGCCGTCGACCAGGCTGAGGACGGTGGTTTTTTGGGGGGTTGCACGCCGCTGCTCATGGCGTGCCGGGAGGGACAGCTCGAGTGCGCCAATCTGCTTCTCGAGGCGGGCGCGGCGGTCAACCAAGCCCAGGCCCAAGGCGCCACGCCGCTGTTCATCGCGTGCGCTCGGGGCCACGTCGACATCGTCCGGCTGCTCCTCGAGGCTGACGCGGCAATCGACCAAGCCGACGCTGAAGGCTTCACGCCGCTGTCCATCGCGTGCCAGATGGGCCACCTCGAGATCGCCCGGCTGTTGCGCGATGCCGGTGCTTCGGTCAATCAGGCCACGGTGAACGGCGTCACGCCACTGTTCATCGCGTGCCTGATGGGCCACCTCGAGTGCGCCCGGCTGCTCCTCGAGGCCAGCGCTTCGGTCAACCAGGCCCGCAACAACGGCTACACGCCGCTCTTCATGGCGTGCCAGAACGGCCACGTCGAGTGCGCGCGGCTGCTTCTCGAGTCGGGCGCGGCGAAGGACCAAACCGACGAGCAAGGCGTCACGCCGCTGCTCATCGCATGCTGGCAGGGCCACCTCGAGTGCGTCCGGCTGCTTCTCAAGGCTGGCGCGGCGATGAACCAAGCCCGCGACAACGGCTCCACGCCGCTGTACATTGCGTGCGAGAAGGGCCACCTCGAGATCGCCCGGCTGCTTCTCGAGGCCAGCGCGGCAGTCGGCCAAGCCCGCAACAACGGCGTCACGCCGCTGCTTGTCGCGTGCTTCCAGGGCCTCCTCGAGGTCGCCAAGCTCCTCTCCTCCTACGGCGCCTCCCGCGCCGCAGTGCCAACCGTTGGCATGCCCGAGGAGATTACAAACAGCCAAGGCCACGCCGACCTCGCCGCCTGGCTGGTCGCCAGCCGCGGCTGGACGCCGCTCGCGCACCTTGAGACCCTCACCATCGCCCGCGCCCTCTCCCTGCTGCGCAGCGGCGCAAGCCTGCACGAGGGCGAGCCGACGCCGCTGCAGCGCGCCGCGGGCGGCGAGGGCGAGGCGGCGGCGCTGATCCGGCGGGCGGCGGCGCCGTGGTCGCCGGCAAGCCACTCGCTCTTCCCCGCGGCGGCGCGCGCGCGGGCGGCGCTCCTCGTCCTCTCGCTCTACGAGATCCACGAGCGGCACCATCTCGACTCGGCAGGAAACACGAATGGCATCGCGGCGCGCGACTTTGTGGCGTGCGTGCTGCGCTTCGCGATCACGCGCGAGACGCAGTAGCGTGGCGCGCGCGCTCGCGCTGCCGCGCGCGGTGGCGCGAGGCGAAGAACAGCCAGTCAGTGCAAGGCTTAGGATTCGTCTCTTTCCCATATGGGGGTCTCGGCGCAAGGGGCATGGGTCACGGCGCAAGGGGGAGTCGCAGCGCTCCGCCCGGTGCTCTGTGTAAGTGTCACTTGGGCTGTCGTTCTCTGGGGCCAGTCTGGGGCGGCGCCCGGCGCTCCGCGAGCGGAGATATAAGCTTGCGAGATACAACATACATTTCTCACAGAACAAAATAATAAATATCCGGCGCGGCACGCGCGCACGGGCGCATGCAATGCAAGCCGGCGGTCGTCACGACTCACGAGCTCCGCATTCTCGGGGTGGGCGCCTTTCGCTTCGGCGGCCGATCCCACGCAGTGGCCACAGGCACGGCGGGAGCGGGGGCGGGGGCGGCGGACCGAGCCTTGCCGGCGCCGGCAGCCGCCGCGCCCCTCGGCCTCTCCGCGAGGTCGAGGAGCGCCTGTTCACAGCTGCAGGTGTGAAGAGACGCTGTTCACAGCTCGGCCTCTCCGCGAGGTCGAGGAGCGCCTGTTCACAGCTGCAGGCGTGAAGATGAACGCGGCGGAGCGGACGGCGGTGGCGGAGGGCGTGGGGATGAAGCCTGGCCACGCGGGCAACTTTGTCAAGCACGGCTTCGAGGCGCCGGTGGCTTAGAGGCTGTCGAGCCGGCGCGAGGCTGAGCGTCGAGAGCGAAGGCGCGCCCTGGTTGATTGCGTTTACGTGTACGTGTGCATGCCGTATGTCTTGGTGAGGCCCGACTTGCGATGTGTTTTGTTTGGCTGTGTTGAGATGCGCGCGGGAGGAGGACTGATGCGTTTGCGCGCCGCTAATGTGTGGCTGTAGGAGAGGTACCCAAAAAGTGCAGCACCCTACCCTGTGTGTGTGATCTGTGAACATATGTATGTATTTTAGGCGAGCTTATGTTCGAGAACGAGCACAGAGTGTGGCGGCGATTGAGGGCGTCGCGAGAAGAGCGAGGGCGAACATGGCGGCGTGCAGCAGATGTACCCAACCGGGTAGGCGGAAACTAAAGAAATCGTGATCGCGAAAGGAGCGCTTTGTGTTCGTGCGTCACCCTCTCTCGCGACAGAGCCGCCGCTAGCTAACTCAAGCTACCTTACCTTAAGTTCTTTTTTGGCGCTCCTATACTCGGTCTCCCCTCTGCCCGTGCGACTTTCGCTAACTCCCTCGAGCGTAGATCGTCTCTCTTCGGCGCGCTTGAGCACGTTTGGCACTTACTCGAGGCTTTGAATCTCTTACGTCCCTCACCCGCCAAGACTGCCCGAGCCATGTATGTGTGCGTCTGTGCGTGTGTGGGACAGACGTTAGTTAGTTAGTTAGGAAGCTAGGCGAACACAGTCCGACCAGACGCGACTGGAGGACACAACGCGGTAATGGGTGGACGCGGGACGGGCGGTGACGCGGGTCACACAGGAAGGAGCGACACACAGAACCACAAGACAAGACACTCAGCCAACGGGGCTGCCACACTTCCTGAGCGAACTTCCCTAGTCACCTGCAGCCGGACTGGCCGGACTCCGACACGCGTCGCTGGCTCGCTGGGCGCTCAGAGCCGCGTCCCCCCTGCTCGCCACCCCGACGCTCAAGGCGCCCGAGTCGAACGACAGGCGGCACGCGGAGACTGGTTGCAATCCCGCCGACCGCCAGGCCGCGGGATGATGTGGGCTGCGTGCTTGAAGGGAAGGGGGGGCGGAGACGCGGTGGCGTCCAAGCCCGGTTGCCAAAGGTGGCCGCTCACGCGTCCGAGGAGTTGTGACGCTTTACGCTTGGTCAAAGGGAATTACGACGCCTGTCGCACTCACAAGTGCACAGCCGCAGCCTGCCTGCCGGCCCGAGACTAAACGACAGGGCCTCCACAGACTGAGGCTCTCACACGACTTTCCATGCGCGGCGTTATCTGGGTCGGGGTCGTTACACACCAAGTGGACCGGACCGCCCGTCCTCTCAATTATCGGGACCCGGGGTGGTTTCATGCGTTGGTCCAACATATTCGACCGCCCGTCCTCCTCAATTACCGGGACCCCGGGTTGGACCGCCCGTCCTCCTCAATTACCGGGACCCCGGCCAGGGTCGTTACCTGCGCCTCGTCACTGACTGTCTGCCGGTGCGAGCTCCACTCGCGGCTCCAAAAGGGCTACCCGCGACACCGGGAGGTTGCACGTGTCCTCTCATCGAGCATTGCCATCGAGCTTCACGGGCAAAAGAAAAACTACGGGCCCTGGAGCTGACCAAGGGTCAAGGCCGCTGTGGTTGGTCTGATGCGGATATAGTGGACAGTCAGGATGCCGCCAAGATCTGCTGTGCCATTCGACATGCCGGCATTCGTCGTGCCAGTTGACGACGACTATCTTGCTTCCCTAGACGTGTTCGCGAGGGACGTCAGGCGAGAGATGGAGAGGCGTCGAGTGGGCGGCGCTTCGCCACTGCCTCCAGATAAATGGGTGGGTGTTGGCTCTCCGCCTTCGCCGCCGCCGATGGTATCGGCGACGACGGCTCCACGGCGAGCGGTACAGTTCTCCAAGTCGTGGACCACAGAGGTCGTCCCGCTCGCTCGGACGTCGACGTGTTCGCCATCGTCCTCCTCCTCCGTCTCCAGCATGGACGTCGGTGCCAACACGCCTGCGCCGCTCGAGCCGCCTTCCGCACCGAGCGGCCCCTCGCCTCCTGCAGCTCCGCCGACGCTCGTCGCATGCCGCGCTGCTCCTCTGCCGCCATCCAGCAGCGCAAAGACGCTTGACGCAGTCCTCTCGCACTGCTACGACCTCTCGGGAGAGCACATCGACCCAGACGCGCCGCTCCTCGAGTCGGGCCTCGACTCGATCGGTGCCGTCGAGCTCGGCAACCAGCTTCAGGAGGAGCACTGCAGGGATGGGGCGGAGCTACCGTCGACGCTGATCTTCGACCACCCCACCGCGCGCGAGCTCGCCGCCTTCCTCGACGAGGCAGTCTCTCCTCCTGCCCTCGAGACTGGCCTGCTCGGCCCGCCCGCCGCCCCGCCCGCCGCCCGCCCGGATCAAGCGGAGGAGGCGGCGGTGCATGTGGGCGGCCTGGCGGCGCGGCTGCCCCTGCTGGGCGGCGGCAGCGAGTCGGCGATGGAGAGGATGGCCATCACCGGCAGCAACCTCATCTCGGAGGTTCCGCCTTGCCGCTGGTCGAGCGACGGCGCGGCGCGGCTCGACGAGGCTGTCGCCGACCGCGTGCGGCACGGCGGCTTCCTGCGCGACGCGGAGCTCTTCGACCCTTCTCGCTTCGGCGTGTCGCCGGCGGAAGCGCGGGCGATGGACCCGCAGCAGCGGCTCCTCCTCGAGGTAGGGTACGAGGCGCTGCACGGCGCCGGGCAGACAAAGGTCGAGCTAAGCCGCTCCCTGACGGGTGTGTTTGTCGCGATCGCCTCGAACGATTGGGCCGACATTGTCAAGTCCTCCTCCCCGCTCTCGCGGAGCGTCTACGCGGCGACGGGCAGCCCGCACTCGATCGCCTCCGGCCGCCTCTCCTTCGCGCTCGGGCTGCAGGGCCCGTGCGTCTCGTACGACACCGCCTGCTCGGCGGCGCTGGTTGCCAGCCACGCCGCGCTGCGCGGGCTGCAGCTGCACGAGTGCAACACCGGCCTCGTGGCTGCGGCGAACCTCGTGCTCCTCCCTGCGGCCAGCGTCGCGTGCGGCATGGCGGGGCTCACCTCGCTGCTTGGCCGGTGCCGCGTATGGGCCCCAGAGCTACTCCGGAGTCTCGCCGCCGCTCCCCACACGCGCGAGGCTATGCCGTGCGTAGGTGCCACGCGTTTGACCGGCGCGCCGACGGGTACGCGAGGAGTGAGGCGTGCTCCTCGCTTGTGATGCAGAGGAGCGGCGGAGGCGCTGCCGGCTGCGCTCGCCTCGCCGGTAGCTGCGTGCGGCAAGACGGCAGGAGCGCGAGCCTGACGGCGCCAAACGGCCGCGCGCAGCGGTCGCTGCTCGCTGGCGCCCTCTCTGCCGCCAGGCTGGAGGCCGCGGCCGTGACCAGTCTGGAGGCGGCTGCAAACGGTTCGGCGCTCGGCGACCCGATCGAGGCGGGCTCGTTGTGCACGCTCCTGGATGCCCCGAGGCCGGCCCCGCTCGTGGCTGGGGCCGTCAAGGCGAGTGTTGGCCACGCAGAGGCCGCTTCGGGCGCGACCAGTCTGCTCGTGCTCCGCTTGCGCCTGCTGCACCGGCGCTCCTCCCCGAATGCGCAGCTGCGGGTCATCAGCGGCCATGTGGCGGCGGCGCTCGTCCGCAGGGCGTGCGTCCTCCCGACGCAGCTGACGCCGGCGCTGAGCGTGGGGGCGAAGGAGCGAGCGGAGGAGACGGAGGCGCGGAGCCGCGTCGGTGGCGTCAGCTCGTTTGGGTACAGCGGCACCATTGCGCACGCTTTGCTGCGTGTCAAGGAGACGCCAGCCCCAGCGATGAACTCGAGTATGACCTCGAGTCTGCCCAGCTGCCCAGGCTACTTGCGCCGGCGATTCTTGTGGCGCGAGACGCCGCACCCGCTCATCCAGCTGCGCGCGGCCGATGCAGACGGCACCGACAAGGCCTCGTTCCGCTCGCCGGCCAGAGGGGCGCTGCTTGCGGTTGTGGCCGACCACATTGTGCAGGGCCGCGTCATCTTCCCCGGCGCGGGCTACATTGAGATGGCGCGCGCGGCTACCGCGTCCCTCTCGGGCGGCGCCAACGGCGCCAGGCTCTCGCGCGTCTTCTTCCTGCAGCCGCTCATGCTCGACGGCGACGTCAGCACGATGACGATCAGCGTCGACATCACCGCGGCCGACGAGCGGTTCGACGTCAACACCGAGGACCTCGAGGCGGGCACCAAGACGTCGCACTGCGCGGGCGGCGCGTCCACTTTGTCGGAGGCGTCGCCCGCCTTCTCGCACGCCGGCTTGCGAGCGTCGTGCGCGCAGCCGGTCGACACCGCCGTCATCTACGCGGGCTTCCGCTCGGTCGGCCTCGAGTACGGCCCCGAGTACCGCACGCTCACCTCGGCGCGCGTCTCGCGCGACGCGGGCGTCGCCGTGGGCCAGCTGCGCCGCCGCCAGCGCAAGGAGGGCACGAGCGTGCACCCGGCCGACCTCGACGGCTCGCTGCACCTGACCGCCCTCCTCGCCGAGGCGACCGCGGCGGGCGAGATCCGGCTCCCCTTCTCGGTCGGCGAGGCGGCGCTCACGGACGTGAGCGGCTCTTCGTGGCCGGTGGCGGAGCGGCAGGGCGCCAACATGACGGGCGTTTGGATCGGGGCCAAGGACGCCAAGGCGGCTAAGGACTCGCCAGGCGCGCGCCTGACCAACTTCGAGACGCGCGTGCTCAAGGCGGCGCCGGCGGCGGCTCCGCAACGCAAGTCGACGCACTTGTACGTCACGTCGTGGCAGGTTGCAACGGTGCCGGCCGCCGAGGACGCCAAGGCGGCGCTCGTGATGTGCGCCTCGCCTCCGCTCGCCGCCGCGTCGGGCTCCGGCGCCGCGTTGGCGGCTCCGTTGGCGCCGATCGGCTCGGTGGTGTACGCCGTCGGCCTCTCTGCTGGCGCCAAGGCCTCCGATTCGCTTGCCGGTCTACTAGACGCATTCGTGGTCGTGCGCGCGCACGTCGCGACGCGTGCTACCGTTCCCGTGTGGTTGCTTTCGACGGGTGCACGCGGCGCCCGCTCGAGCGGCACCGGCGTCTCGAGCCACGCAGGCTGGATGGGGCTCGCCCGCCAGGCGCGCTCCGAGGCGCCGCAGTCGAGCTTGCCGATCATCGACCTGGATGTGCTCCGGCCGGGCGTGACCGTGCTGGCGGCGGTGTCGAAGCTGGCCAGCCAGCTCGGACTCGGCTACGATGGCACTCCCGAGCCCGTGGTGGCGTTTGACGGCTCTTGCCAGCGTGTCTGCCGCCTAGCGGATGCCGCTGGCTCGCTAGGAGGACCAGTCACGCTCCACTTCGACGCCCGCGGCGCCATCAGCAACTTGCGGGTGGTGGCGCAGGAGCCCGAGAACTCCAAGCCGGTCTGCGGCGAGGTCAGGCTCAACGTCGGCGCGGTCGGCCTCAACTTCCGCGACGTGCTCAACGTCCTCGGCGTGTACCCTGGTGACCCTGGCCCTCCGGGCGGCGACTGCGCGGCGCACATAACTGCCGTCGGCCCCGGCGTTTCGCACATCAAAGTTGGCGACGCGGCGCTTGGGCACGGGCTCGCTGCCCTCGCGTCTCTGTCTAAGTCCGACGCGCGCCTGATGGCGGCCATCACCGACTCGCTCTCGTTCGAGCAGGCCTGCACGCTGCCGACAACGTGGTGCACGGTGCATATGGCGCTGCTCGCGGCCCGCCCGGCGGCCAGTCACGACGTGCTGTTGCACGCGGGCGCGGGTGGCGTCGGCCTCACCTCGCAAGAGTACTGCCACTTCATCGGCAGCCGCGCGATGGCGAACGTCGGCCGGCCGTACAAGCACTTCTACCTGCACAAGATGGGCCTCGCCGGCCGGCTGCTGAGCTCGCGTGACGGCGGCGCCTTTGCGCTCGGCGCGTCGAAGCTGCTCGGCTCCGGCCGGCTGCGCTTCTCGCTCAACAGCCTGTCTGCGGACTTCATCGCGTGCACGTTTGGGCTGCTGCGGCAGGACGGCAAGCTCTGCGAGATCGGCAAGCGGGCGGTGTGGAGCTACGAGCGGCACGAGGCGGCGTGCTGCAACAACCTTACGATGATCGCGCTCGACTCGACGATTGAGCAGACGCCGTGGTGGATGTGCGGCACGCTCAGGGCCCTATCGGCGCGCGCAGATGCCTTCGTGCTCCACGGCCTCCCCATGGAGCTCTTCGACCTCGAGAGGAGCGTCTTGGCCGCCTTCCGCACGCTGCAGGGCGGCACCAACACGGGCAAGGTGGTGGTGCGCATCCCGAGGACGGCCCCGACGCCGCCTCGCGGCACTCACCTGCTCCTTGGCGGCACGGGCGGCCTCGGCCTTGTCACGGGCAAGTGGCTCGGCGAGAGCGGCGCCTCGTCGGTGGTGCTGGCGGCGCGTGGTGGGCGCGCAAGGTTGAGGGGAGGCACCAGCGGGAAGAAGCTCAAGGAGCTCGGCCGGTGTAGCTTCAGCGTGGCCAAGTGCGACGTCGCCGAGCACGCCGACACGTTCCGCCTGGCCGCCGCCGTCCTCAGTGCAGGCGCTGGCCGCTTGGCGGGCGTGTGGCATGCGGCGGGCGTGCTATCGGACGGGCTGCTGCGTGCGCAGAACGCGTCGACCGTGAAGCGCGTCTTCGCACCCAAGGTGCACGGCGCTTGGGGCCTGCAGAGGTTGGCTGCGTCGTCGCCGCTCGACACATGCGTGCTCTTCTCTTCGATCAGCACGCTGGTTGGCGGCGGGGGCCAGTCCAACTACGCCGCCGCCAACGGCATGCTCGACGCGCTCGGTGCTTGCCGGCGCGTGCGCGCCCTGAACGCGACCTCTGTACAGTGGGGCCCGTGGGCAAACGTCGGCATGGCAGCGGACGGCGCCATCAACGCGGCCATCCAGGAGATGGGCTTTGGCCTGCTCAGCCTGGAGCAGTGTACGCTGGCGTTCCGAGCTACGCTGCTCCCGGCGGCGACGGGCGTGATGAGCTTGATGGTCGTGAATTGGAACGAGGTCAACTCGGGGGCGGTGCGGTGGCCGTTTGTGGCCGCCGTTGCGCGCGGCCGCAAGAGCAGCGCGGCCGCTACGTCGATGGCGGAGACGGCCGGCCCGGGCTCGCCGGTCACGCTCGAGTCGATGCTGGACGCGCTGCAGCAGACGGTCGGCCGCTCCGTGGACCCCGACGAGCCGCTGATGGACTCGGGACTAGACTCGCTCGCTGCGGTGGAGTTTGGGAATCAGCTTCAGGCGCAGAGCGGCCTGAAGCTGCCGTCGACGCTCATCTTCGACTTCCCCACTGCCCGCCAGCTCGCGGGCTACTTTGAGGAGAAGCAGTCGCAAAGCACGGCCGCCGTCGCAAAGCCGGCTCAGTCGAGGAGCCCGAGCGGCAGCGCTGTCGAGGTGCAGGTTGCTGGCCTTGCGATCCGGCTCCCTCTCGGGCAAACCACCCGTGCCGCAGCCAGTCGCATGTCGCTCTGCGGCGGCGACGTGGTCAGCGTGGTGCCGTCGACGCGGTGGTCGGACGAAGGGCTGGACACGCTCCAGGGGCTCGTCGCGCAGCGCGTGCGCTTCGGCGGCTTCATCTTCCGCGCGGACCTCTTCGACAACGCCTTCTTCGGCGTCTCTGCGGCAGAGTCGCGTGCGATCGACCCGCAGCAAAGGGTGCTCCTCGAGTCCGGCTACGAGGCTCTGCACGCGGCGGCGCTGGGGAAGCAGCAGCTCGCAGGCTCGTGCACGGGCGTCTTCGTCGCCATCGCCGCCAACGACTGGACCGACGTCGTCAAGAGGTCTCCGATCGGCAGGAGCGTCTACGCGGCCACGGGAAGCGCCATGTCGGTCGCGTCCGGCCGCATCTCCTTCGCCCTGGGGCTGCAGGGGCCTTGCGCCTCCATCGACACGGCGTGCTCTGCGGGGCTCGTTGCCAACCACTCGTGCCTTCGCGTGGTGCAGAACGGAGAGTGCGCGACCGGCCTCGTGAGCGCGGTCAACATCATGCTCCTCCCTGACGTGAGTCTCGCCTTTGCGATTGCGGGGATGACGTCGGCGAAGGGGCACTGCCACACGTTCGACCGGAGCGCGGACGGGTACGTGCGCGGCGAGACCTCCTGCGCGACCGTTTTGCGCGCCGCTCGGGCCGGGACGCTCGCCGTCGCCGGTAGCTGCGTGCGACAGGACGGCAAGAGCGCGAGCCTGACAGCGCCAAACGGGCAGGCGCAGCGAGGTCTCCTTCTCGACGCGCTCGCCGACGGCGCGGCGGCCGCCCGCGACGTCGCCTGCCTCGAGGCGCACGGCACCGGCACTGAGCTCGGCGACCCGGTGGAGGCGGGGTCTATGAGCGCCTCGCTGCTTGGCGCGCGCAAGTGCCCCCTCGCCGTCGGCAGCATCAAGGCGAGCGTCGGACACGCGGAGCCGGGCGCCGGCGCCGCGGGCCTGCTGCGGCTGGCGGCGGGGCTGCTCGGGGCGTGGACGCCACCGAATGCGCAGCTCCGCGCATTGAACGTGCATGTCGGCGAGGCGATCGGCGCCGCGGCGTGCGCTTGCTCGCTGCCCTCCCAGGCGGCCAGCCTGCCGGCCGCGAGCGGCACGGCGCGCTTGGGCGGAGTCAACTCGTTTGGCTACAGCGGCACGATAGCGCACACGCTTCTGCGGGCGACGTCGTCGACTGCGGCGCCGCCTCAGCTGCGCCTCCGCTACGCGCGCAAGTCCTACCCTTGGCAGGCGGCGGCGGCGGCACCGTCGCCCAGCGCGGCCTCAAAGCCGGCCGAGGTCCTCTTGACGTACTCCTCGGCGTGGTCCTCCCATCCCCGCCCTCTTCCCCGCCAGTCCAGCCGCTCCTGGCTACTCGTCGCCTCCGCTGACACCCCCTCCGGCGCTATTGGCGACGGCGCCACCGCAGCCGCCACCGCCAACGCGACCAGCGCCGCCGGGTTGGTTCTTGATTTGGCTTCGGTCCGAGGGGACCACGCGCCGCTCGCGAGGGCGGAGTGGATCTTCTTCGTGGCACGGCAGCTCCTGCTGACCCGTCGCCCCTTACGGCTCGTCGTCCTGACGTCTGGTGCGCAGCTGAGCGTGCCCACGGCGATGAGTGCGCTCGGAGGCTCCCGTCTGGCCGGTGGGTGCGCGTGGGGGATGGGCCGTGTGCTTCGGATGGAGGGCCCGGCGCTCGGCACCACCGTCGTCGACTTGCAGTTCGGTGCTTCTGTGCCGACCGCCCTCGCCTCCGTGCTGATGGGCGACGACAGCGACGACAGTCTCAAGGAGGAGGGGCAGGTAGCCGTCTCCGCCACGGCGCTGCACGTGCTGCGGCTGCGGCGCGGCTGTGTGCACGAGGGGAGCGCGGCGCCGCCACAGAGCGGCGGGACGCACCTCATCACCGGCGGGCTGGGCGGGCTCGGCCTCCGGGCCGCGTCGCTGCTCTGCGACGGTGCTGCGGATGCTGTCGTGCTCTGCTCGCGGAGCGGACGAGTTGCGCGGGGCGGGCAGGGCCTCGAGGAGCGGCTCGAGCGGCTGCGGAGAGGGGAGGGCGGTGTGGCGGTGGTGGCGTGCGACGTGGCGCAGGAGGAGGGCGTGGTCGCGATGCTCCGTTCAGCGCCGCGGGAGGTCGACGGCGCTCCCGGGACGGCGCTTCGCAGGCTCAGCTCGGTCCTGCACACTGCGGGGACGACGCGCGATCGGCTGATGCTCAACACCGGGCGCGACGAGCTCGCCGCTGTCATGGCGCCAAAGGCGCTCGGCGCGCGCCACCTCCACGGCGCGACGAGCCAAGCCGCGGCGGCCGCCTTTGTGCTCTTCTCCTCGATCGCCTCGACGTTTGGGAACGTTGGGCAGGCGAGCGAGCGACGCCAAGACGCAACAATACGCCGCGCCACTCCCCACACCGCCCCGGCCTACCGACCCCCTCGTGGCATTCCCAGCTTCTTGTGACCTGCCCAGCCCCTCGCGGCAGGCGAGCTACGCTGCTGCGAACGCGTGTCTCGACACGCTGGCCACCGCTCGGGGTTGCGCCGGCATGCCAGCGAGCTCGATGCAGATGCCGCTTGTCCTTGGGGCGGGCATGGGCGCTGCCGACAAGCAGGCGTTCTCCCTCTTGTCGCTGTCGCTCGAGCAGTACGCGGGGTGCCTCGGCGCTCTCCTCGGCGTCTCGCCGCCGGCGCGGCCAGACCTTGCCCTCGACTTGTCGCACGGTGCCAGAGTCTGGGCCCCGCTGCCAGCCGATGCAGCGTCGATCTTGCGCGGGCAGCATGCGGCGCTCCTGCCCTTGCTGTCGGAGCTGCCAGGGTCGGCGGTGCGCGCCAACGCGAGCGGCGGCCAAGCAGTCGCCGCTGCTCCGGGCAGTTTGGCGCACGAGCTGCTTCAGATGCCGCCTGAGAAGCGACAGCCGCACGTTGAGGCGATCGTGATGGAGGGGGTGCGGGAGGTGTCAGGCGCCGACGCGAGCGAGTTTGACGCAAACACGCCGCTCATGGAGTCGGGGATCGACTCTCTCGCCGCCTCCGAGTTCTCGACGCGCTTGCGCGACGAGACGGGCGTTGAGCTCTCGGCGACAGACGTGTTCGACCACCCGACGCCTCGCGCCATCGCGTGGCACGTCGTCGAGCGGCTCGTCGGCGCGGAGGGTGGCGCGGCGGGCGGGGATGCGGCTGCTCGAGTCGCGCGGTGCGATACTGGTCAGGCCACGGTGTCCATCAGCAGTCTGCTCGCTCGTTGGCCAGGTGGCGCCGGCGGCATCAGGCAGGTGGCGTCGATGCTCGACTCGAGCGGCGACGCCATCAGGCAGGTCCCCGCTGCCCGGTGGACGCTTGATACCACCGCGAGCCAGGTCGCAGCGCTGAGCCACGACCAGCGCAGCTCGGCCTCGTACTCCGCTTGCATACCAGACATCGAGTCCTTCGACGCCAGGGCGTTTGCCATCTCGCCCGCCGAATCTCTCGCGATGGACCCGCAGCAGCGGCTGCTGCTCGAGCTCGGCTACAGCGCACTGCACGGCACGGGGCAACGGCGCGCCGCCCTCGTCGGGGCGGGGACCGGCTTCTACCTCGGCATCGAGCGGCCCGACTGGTCGCTCCGCAACGCCCTCAAGCCCGACGCGGCCGCCGTGTCTGTCTACACCATCACGGGCGACACCATCTCCATCGCGTGCGGCCGCCTCTCCTTCGCGCTCGGGCTGCAGGGCCCGTGCGTCTCCCTCGACACGGCCTGCTCCTCCGGCCACGTGGTGGTGCACACGGCGGCCGCGGCGGTCCGCGCCGGAGAGTGCCCGTCCGCGCTGGTGAGCAGTGTGAGTCTTAAGCTGATGCCGCACACAATGCTCGCTGTTGCGTCGGCGGGCATGCTCGCCGCCGACGGTCGCTGCAAGACCTTCGACCGACGCGCCAACGGCTACACACGCAGCGAAGGGTGCGCCTCCCTCGTCGTCCAGGCGCGCCCTCCACAGCGCCCTCCTCTGCGCCCTCCGCGAACGCACAACGCCGGCTCCCCATCTGGGATCCCATACGCACGGCGTCCGCTCGCCCTTTGTGCCACGCGTCATCCCCCCCCCCCTCCCTCCACCTGCAGCCCGGCGGCACGGCTTCAAGTGCGTGCTTGGAAGGCTCGGCCGTGCGACAGGACGGCCGCAGCGCCAGCCTCACGGCGCCCAACGGCCTCGCCCAGCGAGAGCTCATCTCCTCCGCTCTCGCGGAGGCGGACATGCCGCACGGCATCTGCGGCATCGAGGCGCATGGCACGGGGACAGCGCTCGGCGACCCGACCGAGGCGGGCTCACTCGCCGCAGCGCTCAGGCCACGTGGCGTAGACGCGCCCGATGCCGCGCGCCAGATCGCGGTCGGCACCGCAAAGGCCAATGTCGGGCACACAGAGCCGGTGTCTGGGCTACTTGGCCTGGCGCGCGGACGACTCCTCGCGGGTTGGTGCGATGGCGAGGCTCGCCCTCGACTCTCCCGCGGCCTACCCCCCATAGGCGAAGTCACTGCAGCTGCTCCGCGCGTCGACCAAGTCCGGCAACGCGCAGCTCTTCGCCATCAACCCCCTCGTCGACGAGCGGCTCAGCTCCGGCGCGGCCGCTCCGTTGATCCTCCCCTCACAGCCGCTGCAGTGTGGCTCAGCCGGCGTTCCCGCCACCGGCATCTCGTCATTTGGCTACTCGGGGACCATCTCGCACCTCGTCGTCTCGCGTGGCGGCGACGTGGCCATTGTGCCGCCATCTTCTGGCCGGCAGGCGGCGCGTTTTGTCCGCCAGCGATTCAGCTGGGTGGACCTCCCTCACCCCTTTGCACAGCGGCCGGTCGAGGCCAGCGCCATGCGACGCGCCGGAGCGCCGGCCAGCGGTGCTCTGCTTGCCATCGTGGCCGACCACGTGATTCAGCGGCACGTCATCTTCCCTGCGGCCGCGTATCTCGAGATGACGCGTGCGGCGCGCGCCGTGCGGCTGAGCGGGCGCGAGCCCCGTGCCACCCGGCTGTCGCGCGTCTACTTTATGGCCCCGATGTTCCTCGACGAGCCGGACGGCCTGTGGGTATCGGTGGAGCTCGACGAAGCCGACGAGCGCTTCGAGGTGACCACCTCCCGCCTCGATGGCTCCGGGGAGGAGCTGTCGCGTGCCGTCCACTGCGCCGGTTCAATCGCCCTCGGCGAGGCGGGAGGGGCCTCCTCGAGCGCCCCCGCGGCCAGGTCGGTCGACATCGTGGCGAGCCGAGGGGTGGCGACCTTTGGCGTCAGCGCCGCCGACTACTACGCCATGTTCCGCGCCCGGCAGATTGAGTACGGCCCCGAGTACCGGAGGCTGCGCAAGATGTGGACGTCCCGTGAGGAGGGCGTGGCCGTCGCGTCGCTCGGGGTGCGCGCGGCGGGGTACGCTGGCATGCGAGGCACGGCCATCCACCCGGGCGATCTCGACGCGGCGCTGCAGCTCACCGGCCTCCTCGCCGACGAGGCGGCGGCGCGGGCCAACGAGACGAGGGTGCCGTTCAGCCTCGGGCACGCCACGCTCTCGGGCGCCACGGGGCGGCTGTGGGTCGTCTCCGTCCACTCGACGTCCGTCTCCGGGGCGAGCGACATCCTCCTCGGCCGCGAGGCGCGCGGCTCCGCCCCCGGCGCCGCGCTGGTCGGCTTCGTCAACCGCGTGCTGAAGGCCGACGCGCAGCAGGCGCCGCCGGCCGCACCGAGCTGCCAGTATGTGACGAGGTGGGACTCGGCCGAGGAGGACGAAGCGGCGCCGTCTCTGCAGCCGTCGATCGAGATCGCGGCGCCGCCGCTGCGTGCGGTGGTGCCGTCCGAGCCCTCCGGCGACCGGGGCGGCGAGGCTGCGGAGCGGCTCGTCTTCTCTCCCGCCCTCCTCCCCGGCACCGCCTCCCTCGCGGCGACGGAGGCCTCCGCCGCCCCCCAGATGCAGCAAGGGGCTCTGACCTCGTCACCCCACCCCTCCCCCCTCACCACCCCGCACGACATCTCGGAAAAGTGGTCGTCCCATCGAGACTGCCGTCCCGGTCCTCACCGCGCACCTGCCCCCCCCCCCCTCCCCCCAGGCTCTGCTCGCCCTCCTCAAGCTGCACGTGATGCAGCGGAACCCGCTGCCCACGGTGGTCTGGACGTGCGGCGCGCAGGCCGCCGAGGACGGCCCCGCCCGGACGTCCTTGCACGCGGGCCTCGGCGGCCTCGCGCGCTCTGCCCGCACGGAGAGCCCGACAGTGCGCGTCCGGTGCTACGACAGCCCGCGCGGTGGCGGTGGCGGCGGCGGCGGCGGCGGCGGCGCGCCTTCGCTGCTGGCGCGCCTCGCCGCCCCGGAGTCCGAGCCCGAGGCGGCGTGGCGGGGAGAGGCGTGGCTGGTTCCTCGGCTGGCAGACTTCTTCTCCCCTCCGTCGCACCGCGGCGAGCGGACGCGCGGCGGAGGGCGCTCGGGCGGCGTCCACGTGCTGAGCGGCGGCACGAGCGGCCTCGGCCTCCTCAATGCGACGTGGCTTCTCGACGAGGGAGCCGCAGCGGTGGTGCTCGCCTCGCGTCGCGGCGAGGTGCTCGCTACAGACCGCGGGAAGCTCCCGCCGACCGACGACGCTGCCGCCATGTCGCTCGCCCGGTGCGATGTGGCGGAGCCGGCAGACGCGTCACGGCTCTTTGCGGGCCTCCACAGAGTGCCTCGCGCCCTCCTCCCGAGGGCCTGCCACGAGCCTGCTCAGAACCTCCCCATAGGCCTCCCGGCCGACCTCGCGGCGCGTGTGCCTCTGGCCGGCGTGTGGCACGCGGCGGGCGTCCTCGCCGACGGCCTCGTCCGCTCGCAGACGGCCGCCTCGGTCCGGCGCGTCTACGCGCCCAAGGCGTGCGGCGCGTGGGCCGTGCAGGCGGCGAGTGCCGCGCTGCCCCTGCACGCGTGCACTCTCTACTCGTCGGTGGCGGCGCTGCTCGGAGGCGCCGGCCAGGCCAACTACTCGGCCGCCAACAGCTGCCTCGACGCGCTGGCCGCGTGCCGCCGCCGGCATGGCCAGCGGGGCGCGAGCCTGCAGTGGGGCCCGTGGGCGGGCGTGGGCATGGCTGCGGATGCGTCGGTCCACGCGAGAATGCAGGCGGCCGGCATCACGCTGCTCACTCTGGCCGAGGGAGTGTGTGCCTGGAGAGCGGCACTCGACCCTCGCTCGCCCGCTGTGGCGGCGGTCATCAACCTTCGCTGGAGCCGCTACCTTGGCGCGCTGCCCGAGGTGCCCGCCCTCCTCCGAAGCTACGCAGCGCACAAGCCCGCCAAGGCTGCGCGCGGAGCCGCCGCCACGGCTGGAGCCGCCAAGGTCGCTTCGCTGGCACGCCAGCCGCTCTCTCCACGACACTCCCCGCACGCCATGCTGCCACGACTCGCCTGCAGGCGGTCTCGCTCGAGGACATCCTGGCGTCGATCGAGTCGACGACGGGCAACGTGGTGAGCGCCGATTCGCCTCTGCTGGACTCGGGCCTCGACTCGCTCGGCGCGGTGGAGCTGAAGAATCAGCTGCAGGAGGCGGCAGGCAGCGAGAGAGGCCGAGTCGCTCGCCCTCTCGCCCGTGGATCGCGTCCTAAGACAGACACGCTCGAGGGTAGGCGGCGAGGTCGAGCTGCCAAGCACCCTCGTCTTTGACTACCCGACGCCGCGGCTACTCGCTCAGCACTTTGAGCAGGCGGCCGCGCCGCCGCCGGTGGCGGCGGCGGCGGCGGCGGCGGGCCCGGCAAAGCACGCGTCGGTGCGGTTTCTCGGCTCGAGCCTCGCGCTCTCGGCAGGGACCCACGGCGCCGCCTCGCTCCGGTCTCTGTCGGCGGGCGGCGGCAACGCCATCTCCCTGGTGCCGCCGAGTCGGTGGGCAGTGGACGGGCCCGACTACCCCGAGGGAGCCATCGGCGAACGCGCCAAGCACGGCGGCTTCATCGTCGGCGTGGAGGGGTTCGACGCCACCTTCTTCGCGATCCCGCCCGCCGAGGTTGCGGCGATGGACCCGCAGCAGCGGCTGCTGCTCGAGGGCGGGTACGAGGCGCTGCTCGCCGGCGGGCTCGACAAGGCGGCGCTCACGGGCTCGTCGACGGGCGTGTTTGTGGGCATCGCCTTCTGCGACTGGCACACGCCCTCCCGTGCAGCACGTTGCTCACCTCGGCTAGTCTCGCCTGATTTCGGGCGGTTCTGACTCAGGCACGACCTCCTGACCAGCACGTCCCTCGGACAGAGCGTCTACTCCTCCACCGGCGCGAGCCTCGCGATCCAATCTCGGCTACTCTCGGCTACTCTCGGCTACTCTCGGCTACTCTCGGCTACTCTCGGCTACTCCCGGCTACTCCCGGCTACTCCCGGCTACTCCCGGCTACTCCCGGCTACTCTCGGGTGATGTTCATTAGGCGCGAGCCACGCGATCGCGTGCGGCCGCCTCTCGTACGCGCTCGGGCTGCACGGCATGAAGCGCCTTGGCGGCGAGCTCTCAACCTCGGGCAGCCTTGCCTGACCTCGGCGATGATCCATTAGGCCCGTGTGTCTCGATGGAGACGGCTTGCTCCTCCGCGCTGGTGGCGAACCACGCCGCGCTGAGCGCGCTCGAGCGCGACGAGTGCGAGTCCGCGCTCGTGACGGCGGTGATGCTGATGCTCCTGCCCACCGTCAGCTGGGCTTGCGCTGTTGCCTCCCTCACCTCCGCTCTGGGGCGAAGCCTCTCCTTCGACAAGCGCGCCGACGGGTACGTGCGCGGCGAGGCGTGCGGCGCGTTGGTTCTGGCGGGCGACGGGGCGGGCGACGAGGCGGCAGGTCCCGGCCGGCCGAGGCCGCTCTCGTCTTGCGTCAAGCAGTCGGGACGCAGCGCGAGCCTGACGGCGCCGAACGGCTCTGCGCAGCAGCAGCTGATGCGCGCCGGCCTGCAGCAGGCCGCCGTCCCCCTCGAGGAGATCGCTTGCCTCGAGGCGGCGGCGAACGGCTCCCCGCTTGGCGACCCGATCGAGGCGGGCTCGATCCGCGCGACGCAGGCGGCGAGGCCGAGCGGTGGGCGCCCTCTTGTCGTCGGGACGGTCAAGGCGAACCTCGGCCACGGCGAGACTGCCTCTGGCGTCACCGGTCTCGTGCGGCTTGCGATTGGCCTCGGCGGCGGCCACGCGCCGCCGAACGCGCAGCTCCGCGTGCTCAACGCCCACGTCGCCTCAGCACTGCAGGGCGGCACGAGCTGGGCGCTGCCCTCGCAGCTCACCCACCTCTCAGGAGGGGGAGGAGGGGGTAGGGGGGGAGGAGGGGGAGGGGGGGGAGGGGGAGGGGCCGCCCCGCGCTGCGGCGCCATCAACGCGTTTGGGTACAGCGGGATCCTCGCGCACGTCGTGCTCGAGGTGGCGAGCTGCCGGGACGTCTTGCCGGCGGCCGCGACGCCCGCGTACACCCGCAAGCGCTTTTCCTGGCGCAAGGCGGTGGAGCAGGCGGCCGCGGCCGCGCCGGGTCCGAGGGCAGGTTCGGGGGCGGTCGCGGTGGAGGAGCCGCGCGAGGAGATGACGCTCGACTTGATGCTTGGTGCGCCGAGCCGGTGTAGTCTACATGTAGACGAGGAGGGACGCCCCGCCGCTCACACCCATGCCCGACTCCGCTGACGGGGGCCGACGACGCCGACCGCAGGCATGCTCGAGGAGACCACGGGCGGAGCCGTCGACCCAGACGCGCCGCTGCTCGAGGCGGGCATCGACTCGCTCGCCGTGATGGAGATGGCGGGCAAGGTGCGCACGCTGACAGGCGTCGAGCTCGCGGAGGATGACTTGGTCGACAGCCCGACCGCCCGCCTCCTCGCCGCGCACGTCAAGGCTGCCCAGTCCAACCCCGACGCCGTCACGCCGCGGCTGGATGCCGTCGGCCTGTACGAGCAGGTGTGCGAGACGAGTGGTTGGCTAGGGGGATGGAGTAGTGACTGAGTGGCCTCGTTGACCGCCACGAGCAGATGTGTGACTGCCCCAGTCCCGGAGGCTTCTCCACCAACCTCCTCACACACACACACACACACACACACACACACACACACACACAGCCCGCGACTCGGCTCGCCGCCCGCGGCATCGCAGGCGCACTACCTCTCTCCGCGGGTCGTGCTCGTCCGCTCGCCGCCCGAGGGGCGCGAGGACTGCCCGAGCCTCGTGCTGGTCCACTCCATCTTTGGCAACGAGCTCGGCTTCGAGCGGCTGCACTCGATGGGATTCGCAGACCGCGAGGTGCCACACGCACGCTCACACACACACACACACACACACACACACACACACACACACACACACACACACACACACACACACACACACACACACACACACACACACACACACACACACACACACACACACACACACACACACGCACGCACGCACGCACGCACGCACGCACGCACGCACGCCACGCACGCGCGCACGCACGCACGCACGCGCGCACGCACGCACGCACGCGCACGCACACACACACACACATGCACACACACACACACACACACACACACACACACACACACACACACACACACACACACACACACACACACACACACACACGCACACACACACGCACGCACGCACGCACGCACGCACGCGCGCACGCACACACGCACACACACACGCACGCCAAGGTGTGCAGTCCGCGCGCGCACTTTTACACACGCATGCACACCTTGGCTCCATCGCCCCGCCCGCTGCGTGCGTGTGGAGACGTCTACCTCCCCCCCCCCCCCCTCTCACCTAAGGTGCTCGCCGTGAGGCACACGGGAATGGCGGCGGGCACAAAGGTGGAGGAGGAGTGCGTGGAGCGCTCGATCGCCGAGCTCGCCGCCGTGTACGCCTCGGAGCTGGTCGCGTACCGCAAGGGGGCGCCGTTCGACCTGATCGGCGCCTCCTTTGGCTCCACGCTCGCGCACCAGATCGGCCTCGCCGCGCAGCGCCTCGGCGGCAACCCCCGCCGGCTGGTGCTGATCGAGCCGCCGCCGCCAGGCCCCTTCCCGCGAGGGATGCGCTACCTGGGCCAGGGCCGCAAGGTGACCCTGCACGACGCGGCGGAGGCGTGCCTTCTCATCCGCGCCACCGCCGAGGCGGCGGCGCAGCGGCCGGAGCGAGGCGCCGACGCGGAGGCGGACCAGCCCCCCCCCACCAACAAGACGACCGAGGAGCTGCTGGCGGAGCTGCGCGACCTGCCCGACGCCGCCCTCGGCTACTTCATCACGAAGGCCTTCCCGACGATGGGCCGGAGCGAGGAGGAGGCGGTCCGGACGACGAGCCGCACGCTGCACGTGGTGCGCCACATGCAGACCCTCGTCTTCCACGAGTGGATGGAGCGCAAGGACCCGCTGCCCCGCTTCACCGGCCCGGACGGCTCGGCCGCCATCTTTGTCGTCAAGGCGACGCGCCGCAAGGAGTGGCTGCAGAAGCTGTTTGGCAGTGTGAGCGGCGATCTCCTCGACGCGGTCGAGCCGGCCGCCGCCGGCGACCGGGGAGGCGGCACCGACGACGAGGGAGGCGGCGCGGCGGCGGCGGCGGGCGAGCCCAACGCCGCGGCGGCGGCGGTCACCTCGGCGCTGCGCTCGTGGAACCCGGTCAAGCGGGCCGCCGCCGCCGCCATGACTGCGCAGGCGAAGGCGGAGTTCGACGAGGTCTGCGAGGTGAGGCGCGACCGCACGACGCTGCTCGGCCCGTCCGCGCTCGAGATCTATGTGCCGGGCAACCATACCCACGTGTCGGCTGTGTGCGTCTCGTACCGCGACGCCAACTTCCGCGTGAACGTGGAGCGGTTCCTCGCCCCCGACGCGCCGACCCCGCCGCCGCTGCGGCCCACCGGCGCGGCGCAGTGCGTCGCGCCGCTGCAAAACATGGCGGAGCGAGTGGACGCGCAGGTGGACGTGCCGCGCTGGCTGCCGGAGCTCGTCTTTGGCGACCTCGACGAGCTGCGCAGCGCGGTCAAGCGGCCCGGCGTGAACATGGAGGATTTTGTGTAGTACACGCACATGCTACAACATGTACATGTAGTAGATCGGGGTGGGCGCTGGGCGGTTAGCCGGATGCGGCGAGCTACGAAAGCCGCAGGCGTCGCTCGCAAGGCAGCAGCGCCGCACCTCTGATACGTTTTCACTTTTCTGTCTAGTGTGCGAGAGCGAGATGGTGCGGAACCCCTTTTGTCTACTGAATGTGTCTAGAGCATAGAGGCGTTGTAGGAGTCGCATGTCAATTGTCTCATGTGTGGCGGAGAATGTCTGTGTAGTACGTACGACGTCTCCCCCGACAAGTGACAACACCCGGACCCGCCAAACGTCACACGAAAGAGACCGCAGGGTGGAGAGCACGCGCTTGTTGAGTTGTGACGGATGGAAGTAGAGATGTTCTCAAGCCGGCAAGATCGAACAGGTCTCTGCCCCACAGCCCACCCCCCTCAAACACATGCAGGAGTGGCGGCAGCTCGGCGTGCGTGCAGGAAGCAGAACAATCACGCTGACGCAAGTACGCGACCACACCGCACGGCGCCACAGCCCTCGGAGAGAGTCCTCGAGTTTCCCGTACACGTACCGAGAGCGGCCACGCCGGGTTTCCCCTCAGCAGCTCCCTATGAGCGCCGGGCCGCATCCGCTGCCATCCTGGCAGCGGCAGCCTTGGCCATCGCAGCGGCAGTGGCCGCGCGCCTCTCCTTGGCGGCGGACAGCGCCGCCGCGAGCGCCGCCTCGGCCGCCGCCTCGGCCTCCCGCTCCGCCATTGCCTCCTCCTCCGCCTCGTCCGCCTCAGTGTCCAAGCGATTCGCCTCGGCCACCTCTGCAGACGCCGCCGCCTGGCTCTCCGCCGTGATGCCAAACCGCATCCTCTCCTCGGTGAGCGTCTCGAGAAGCAGGAGAAGCCTCGCCTCCTCGGCCTTCTTCGCCGCCTCGGCTGCGTCTGCCTCCGACGGCGCCTCGGCACCCTCCTCGGGCTCCTGCGACGGCCCAGCCCCGCCCGCCCCGCCGCCCTTCTTCTTCTTCTTGCCCTTCTTGCCCTTGGCTCGCTTCTCCGCCTCGACCTCCGCCAGCAGCTCCTCGGCGTGCCGCGCCGCCTCCTTCTCCTCCGCCGCCCTCTGCGCCGCCCTCTCCGCCGCTCCCGCTGCCCACGCCGCCTCCGCCGCCGCCTTCTCCGCCGCCTTCTCAGCTGCCGCATGCTCCTTGAGGGCGCGCACGCACTCAGTGTGGCCCTTCTTCTTGGCAAGCTGCAGCGCGGTGTTGCCATCTGTATCGTGCATCGTCACGTCTGCGCCCGCCCGCAGCAAGCAGAGGAGGGCGGCGGGGTGGCCGTGGTAAGCGGCGAGATTCAGCGCGGTGTCGCCGGTGTTGGCCTGAACGTCGATGTCCGCGCCGTGCCGGATCAGCGTGTCGACCAGCTTCTCCTGGCCTCTGCCGGCGGCGTCCATCAGTGCAGTAATGCCAAACTCGCTTCGCTGGTTGATCTCCGCGCCGTGCCGCAACGCCAACTCGACCAGCTTCTCGCAGCCATTCACGGCGGCGAGACTCAGCGCGGTGGCGCCGTTGCTGGTCTGCAACGCGACATCCGCGCCGCGCTGGAGCAGCGCCTCGGCCAGCCCCTCGTGGCCATGGGCCATTGCGACCGCCAGCAGCGTCACGCCGCTCACAGGGCCGCTCGAAAAGACGTACACGAACGTCGCGTCGACCCACACGCCGCCGTCGAGCCACGCCAGCACCACCGCCTCATCGCCTCGCCCAGCCGCTAGCACAACCTCCTCTGGCACCACCCCGCTGCTCGGCTCGGCCGCCTCGCTGCCCTCGCCGCTCGAAGCAGAGGCCGCAGCACTCGCACCCGCCGCGCCTGCGCCGCCTGCCTCGGCCGACGGCGCCTTGCTCCGGACCGCCGCCACCTCCCCGAGATGCGTCCTGAAGGCCTGGACGCACTCGGCGTGGCCCTTCTCCTTGGCCCACTGCAGCGCCGAAAAGCCATTCTCGTCGCGCAACGTCATGTCAGCGCCCGCCCGGAGAAGGCGGAGCACGACGGCGGGGTGGTTGAAGAAGGCGGCGAGAATCAGCGCGGAGCCACTGTTCTTGTATTGCAGGTCGATGTCCGCGCCACGCCGCAGCAGCAGGTCGACCACCCGCTCTTTGCCGCCGTGGGCGGACGATACCAGCGCCGTCCCGATCTCCGCACCGTGCTGCAGCAGCATCTCCACCATTCGCTCGCGGCCGTAGTAGGCGGCAGCGCTGAGCGCAGTGGTGCCGAGACTGGTTGGCAGGTTGATGTCGGCATCGCGCTTCAGGAGGAGCTCGACAATCTGCACGTGCCCGTTCTGTGCGGCGAGCATCAGCAGGGTGCATGGAATCGGACGGCCGCTGACCTCAGAGGGCCGCTCAGCGAGAGTGTCGGCCTTCCCGCCTTCATTCAGCCACGACCGCACCGCTCCCAATCGGCCGTTCTCGGCCGCCTTCAGGACGTTCTTTGGGACTTCGCCACCCGGCGCGCTGTCAGCAGACGGCGGCGGCGGCGGCGTGCGGCGCGCGGCGTTGGCGCGGGAGCGAGAGGGATCCATCCCGGACTCTTTTCTTTTTGAGCTTAGCCTTCGATGTGATGAAACAAACGCAAGGCGGACATGGCAATCGCTCTCGGGCCCACAGACATCCCGCACACCCGCCGCCCCCGCGCGCGCCCCACCTCGGCCGGGAGAAAGGGGAGTGACAGTTTGGGATGAAAGCCTTTTCTTTTCTGCTTATTGGGGGAAAAGGGAAGAAAAAAGAAAAAACTCGTAGGCATCGCTGTGGCACAAGCACCTTGAAGTGCCATGATCCTCGCCGTGATCCTCGTCGCGCTCCTCCCTTCATTGGACGCGACGACGCACCACGAGATAGTGCTCCTCCCTTCATTGGACGCGACGACGCACCACGAGATAGTGCTCCTCCCTTCATTGGACGCGACGACGCACCACGAGATAGTGTCGGACGTGCGCTGGAATGACACCAACGGCAACTCGGTCGAGGCGCATGGTGGGTGCGTGCTCCGATCGCCGCTCGACGGAATCTGGTACTTGTATGGCGAGACTCGAAAAGGCGTCTCGAACCGCAAGACGCCTCCCACCGTGGACTATCTGACACAGGGCATCCATTGCTACTCGTCCGCCTCGTTGGCTGGTGCCTTCGCCTCCAGCGAGCGGCGCGCCTTTTCTTCCTTCTCTCCACAGTGTGCGCGTCGGCCAAAATCGCGGAGCACTTGGAGTGCAGTCAGTAACCGCTCATCCAGGGCCGGGGGGCTAAGAAGCACACCCAGCGGGCCAGACAGATGATCGGGATCGCACTTGGAGCACTTGGAGCGAGCTGTGGTCCACTGCCAGCCGCCCGGCGACGCGTCGCTCAACGCAATCACGCACGCGTGCTACCAGTGGCTGCCAATCACTCTAGAGCGCGGGCCGCAGGCCGGCGCGATGCCCGTCCGCATCGACGCGCGGCGCAGCTGGGACGTGACTCGCGCCCGGGGAGCGGGGTGGTAGGAAGCGGGCGAGCGCCGAGAGCCCTTTAAAAAACTTTTTGAAAATGGGCTCGATTTCCCCATTCCGAGTAACCACTGTAAAAAGCCGAACTCTCGACTCTCGTGCACGATGACGATCACGGCGGGCCCCAGAGAGAGGGAAGCGGCCAGCGGCGAGGAGCAGCAAGGGCCACCCGCGCGCAAGCAAGCGTGGGTGTGGTCAGGACTGCACGAGGAGCAGCTGACTGCTCTCTCCACTCTCCGGAAGACTCCACCCTGCGGCTCTGCGTGCGGTCATCGCGGTGCGTCACCGCAGGAACATGTCGATCTTTTGGACCGCGAGCGCCACCTGCTGCTTGGGCTCCTTGATCTTGACCTTGCCGTTGCCCGGCTGAGTGTAGATGAAGGTGTTGCTGTAGCAGTATTGGTCGGCGAGCTGAAGGGCGGCGGCGACCTCGTCGGCGACCTCGAAGAGCTCGACGTCGTCGCGCAGATCGGCCAGCTTGCGCAGCGGGTTCTTCTTGTTTTGCGACTGCTCCCACGCATAGTTGACTGGAGGCACCTTCCAGATCGAGCGAACCTTATCCCACTGCTCCTCCTCGAGCAGCGCGTTGATCGGAGAGAGGTCGAGCTGCTTGCGGATCTCGCGGATCTCGCCCAGCAGCGACGCCTCCGTCTCATCGGCAGCAGCAGCGGGGTGCGGTCGCAGGAATGAGGCCGCCAGGGCGGTGGCAGCGGTTGAGGTGACGGCTCGGCGGCTGCGAGATGCAGGCTGCGGCGTCAAAAGCGCGGGAACGATCAGCATGAGACCCAGCGGCATTTTTCGGGAGGAGTGTGGCTAGAGCCGGCGGCAGCGAAGAGCGGCGGCGGCGTGAGCGGCCCTCGGAGGTCTCTGAGAACAGACGTCTAAGAAAGGAGAAACACGCGCAGGACACAACGCGCTCTCTCACATGACAAGCAAGCAGCAGATGATGATCCCACGACAGCGATTGTGGGGACGACATGATCCGTACGTGAAGGGTGGAGGGGCCCATCCGCGGAGCTAGGCGGCGTGGGCGCCCCCCACTGGGGCCGAGGGTAAAGGACGTCTGCCACTTGCTTGTTCTTGACGTCGTTGACCCATTTGGAACGCCCAGGGGATTTAACCCAGTCGCGCATTTTAAAATCTCTCTCTCTCTCTCTCTCGAATTATCAACGCATCTTAAGAAAGAGAACAAGCGATTAAAACAAAATCACAACGCACTCTCTCACATGAAAGCGATCCTCGAAAGCGATCCGTTCAAGAAAAAGAGGATATGCCCTGTCCGCCTTCTTTTGTTCATAAAATCGAAGGCTAAGCTCAGAAAAAGAAAGCACAAGTCGGAGCGCCTCTACCCGCGTTCGTGAGGTCAGGTGGTATGTCCAATCGTCCGAACCTTCACGACGACCGGTTGCGCTCCCTCCATCTCGGTCACAGCTGGTACGACTACAGACTAAACCAGCCGTATCAGCGACCGCCACCTCAGTTGCTGCACCCGGCGTACATGCACCCGGCGTTTCCGCATCCGCAGCAGCTCCCTCCAGGCACTTATGTCCCGCTGGGGCACCCTCCAGGCACTTATTTCCCGCTGGGGCATGCACCGAACCAGCACTGGCCGGCTCCGCCGTTCGGTCAGCCCATGCGACCGCCGCCGCTTGGCGTGCCGCTGCCGCAGCCGCAGCCGCAGCAGCCGCAGCAACCGCAGCAGCCGCCGCTGCCGCCGCCGGCTCCCGAGGAGGAGGCGCGGCGCGTGAGCCGCGTCGCGGTGTCGGGGCTCGAGGCGCGTCTCATTGCCGCCTTCCTCGCGGTTGTCCGTCGCCAAAAAACGGCAAAAGTCGGGTGGCTGCAACACTGCTTCCACGGCGACCTCGAGTGGGTCCGTTCTCTCATCCTGCATCCGGAGCTCACCTCCCTCCCGGAGAAGGGCGTCTCGAAAGAGCTCTACAACTCTCACTTCACTCGCCTCCTTCACTCCACCCGCAGAGGCGCGCCTCCCGAGGAGTTCTCCTTCATCGCGATCCGAGATCGGTGATGGGTGCGAGTCTCAATTTAGGCACGCCCACCGCAGCCTACACCTTTAACCGCGGCGCGGAGGCTCCCCCACCAGCAGCGGCTGTCGGTGCCTCCGAGCCGGGCGGCGCGGAGGGCGGCGGCAGCGTGGTGCGGCAGCCGGCCGTGGCAGAGATGCCGCTGCTGGTGGGGGAGGTGCGCTGAGACGAGGTCTAGGCAGGGGTGGTGGGACGGGACGCAAGCCTGCCAGCTCTGCTCGCTGCTACGACTGCTAGGCGCCGCTGGACGACGTCTTCGACCGGATGATTGTGAAGGCGATGGGTGGGGACCAGGCAGTCCAGCCTGAGGCGCTCGATCGCTCTGAGGCGCTCGATCGCGCGCTCGCCTTGCTGGGCGAGCCGTGCGCGGGTGTGCGTGTGTCCGAGTCGTCTCTTGTGTTTGGAGTCGTCGAGTGCAACTCTGCCGAGAGGCGCCGCCGCCCCCTCCTCCGCCGGCGATTCCTCATCAGTCATGAACCGTTGACTATTCATTGCACATGGGCATAGGCTCCCCCTCCTCCTCATCAACGGTTCCACCGGCGGCGCCTACGCGCGCCTCCGAGCCGCCCGCCTGATCTCGGCGCGATCTCGAGCCGCCTCGGGTCAATCTCGGGTCAATCTCGGGTCGGTCTCGGGCCAAGATCTCGGGTCAATCTCGGGTGAGCTCCGCCTCCTCCTCGGCGCGAAGGACGGAGCCGCCAAGGACGTCTTCTCCCTCGTGGACGAGCCGGCCGTCCTCGGCGCGATGCTGCCGCCGGGCTCGCGGCTCGAGCTGCAGGTCGGGTTCGGAGGAGATTGCACGGGAGTGCGCGAGATTGCACGAGACTACACGGCTCGCGGCTCGAGCTGCAGGTCGGGTTCGGAGGAGATTGCACGGGAGTGCGCGAGATTGCACGAGACTACACGGCTCGCGGCTCGAGCTGCAGGTCGGGTTCGGAGGAGATTGCACGGGAGTGCGCGAGATTGCACGAGACTACACGGCTCGCGGCTCGAGCTGCAGGTCGGGTTCGGAGGAGATTGCACGGGAGTGCGCGAGATTGCACGAGACTACACGGCTCGCGGCTCGAGCTGCAGGTCGGGTTCGGAGGAGATTGCACGGGAGTGCGCGAGATTGCACGAGACTACACGGCTCGCGGCTCGAGCTGCAGGTCGGGTTCGGAGGAGATTGCACGGGAGTGCGCGAGATTGCACGAGACTACACGGCTCGCGGCTCGAGCTGCAGGTCGGGTTCGGAGGAGATTGCACGGGAGTGCGCGAGATTGCACGAGACTACACGGCTCGCGGCTCGAGCTGCAGGTCGGGTTCGGAGGAGATTGCACGGGAGTGCGCGAGATTGCACGAGACTACACGGCTCGCGGCTCGAGCTGCAGGTCGGGTTCGGAGGAGATTGCACGGGAGTGCGCGAGATTGCACGAGACTACACGGCTCGCGGCTCGAGCTGCAGGTCGGGTTCGGAGGAGATTGCACGGGAGTGCGCGAGATTGCACGAGACTACACGGCTCGCGGCTCGAGCTGCAGGTCGGGTTCGGAGGAGATTGCACGGGAGTGCGCGAGATTGCACGAGACTACACGGCTCGCGGCTCGAGCTGCAGGTCGGGTTCGGAGGAGATTGCACGGGAGTGCGCGAGATTGCACGAGACTACACGGCTCGCGGCTCGAGCTGCAGGTCGGGTTCGGAGGAGATTGCACGGGAGGGCGCGAGATTGCACGAGACTACACGGCTCGCGGCTCGAGCTGCAGGTCGGGTTCGGAGGAGATTGCACGGGAGTGCGCGAGATTGCACGAGACTACACGGCTCGCGGCTCGAGCTGCAGGTCGGGTTCGGAGGAGATTGCACGGGAGGGCGCGAGATTGCACGAGACTACACGGCTCGCGGCTCGAGCTGCAGGTCGGGTTCGGAGGAGATTGCACGGGAGTGCGCGAGATTGCACGAGACTACACGGCTCGCGGCTCGAGCTGCAGGTCGGGTTCGGAGGAGATTGCACGGGAGTGCGCGAGATTGCACGAGACTACACGGCTCGCGGCTCGAGCTGCAGGTCGGGTTCGGAGGAGATTGCACGGGAGTGCGCGAGATTGCACGAGACTACACGGCTCGCGGCTCGAGCTGCAGGTCGGGTTCGGAGGAGATTGCACGGGAGTGCGCGAGATTGCACGAGACTACACGGCTCGCGGCTCGAGCTGCAGGTCGGGTTCGGAGGAGATTGCACGGGAGTGCGCGAGATTGCACGAGACTACACGGCTCGCGGCTCGAGCTGCAGGTCGGGTTCGGAGGAGATTGCACGGGAGTGCGCGAGATTGCACGAGACTACACGGCTCGCGGCTCGAGCTGCAGGTCGGGTTCGGAGGAGATTGCACGGGAGGGCGCGAGATTGCACGAGACTACACGGCTCGCGGCTCGAGCTGCAGGTCGGGTTCGGAGGAGATTGCACGGGAGTGCGCGAGATTGCACGAGACTACACGGCTCGCGGCTCGAGCTGCAGGTCGGGTTCGGAGGAGATTGCACGGGAGTGCGCGAGATTGCACGAGACTACACGGCTCGCGGCTCGAGATGCAGGTCGGGTTCGAGTCGGCCGAGATCGGAATCTTCCGCGCGTGGGTCTTCCTCCTCGTCGACGTCGTCGAGTCACACAGCCGCTCCATCTCCACCTCCACCGTCCTCTACGGCTGCGTCGTCGCCGCCGCGGCGATGCGACCCCGCGAGTCGCGCGCGCTCTCCACCGAGGCCCGCGCCTTCGTCCCGCAGGCTCTGCGCCAGATCTGGACCTTGCCGCTGCCGCCGACCCTGGTCACCGCCTCCGGCCCCGCCGTACAGCCGCTGTTCCCGTGTAGTTTCTCTTCACACCTCTAGCTGTGAACAGGTGGTCAGTCTGAAGCCGCCGCCGGTGGGGTTCCCGCCGTACAGCCGCCAGCGGGCAGCCCTAGATGCGAGGCTGCGCGAGATCACGCGAGGTCGCACGAGATCACGCGAGATCGTGCGAGATCGCACGCGACCACAGCCGGCGGCGGGCAGTGTCTAGATGCCGCGACCTCGAGAGGAGCCTGTCGAGAGGTCCGCCGTGCCTCCCCTCGCAGGGTCTCACAGTTTAATTTGATTTAATTTAATCTGGTGCCCCCCCTCGCAGGGTCTCCCAGTTTAATTTGATTTAATTTAATCTAGTGCCCCCCCTCGCAGGGTCTCCCTCCCGCCTCGGGAGGCGGAGCAGGCGGACCGCGGACCACTCGCTGCCGGCCAGGGCATGCGGCTTGCGTGGGAGGAGATGGCGGCCACACTCACCTCGGCGCTCGAGGAGCTGCAGCCGCGCGCGCGCCGCGGACGCCGCGCGCCCTTCGCCCTAGCGGGAGCGAGCACGGGCCGTCTCTGCGGGTTTGGGCCCGCCGCGTGGAGTGCGCTGACCGTCGTCGGCTATGGAGGCGCGGCGGCGGCGGGAGGCGCGGCGGCGGCGGGAGGTGCGGCGGCGGGAGCTGGGGCGGCGGCGGAAGACGCGGCGGCGGCGGCGAGGAGGGCATCCTTCCGTGCAGCGGTTGGCGCCGCAGCAGCCGCAGCGAGGGAGGAGGCGGCGGCGGAGGCGGCGGCGGAGGGGGAGGCGGGGGCGGAGGCGGAGGCAGCGGAGGCGGCGGCGGAGGGGGAGGCGGCGGCGGCGGCGGCGGCGGAGGAGGAGGAGGAGGAGGCGGCGGAGGAGGAGGAGGTGGTGGAGGAGGAGGCGGAGGCGGAGGCGGAGTGGCTCAGTCATGACGATTTCAGTGCGCGCGAGGCGGCTGCCACATCCCGCGCCGCCGCCCGAGATGGACCCGAGATGACTCGAGATTGGCCGAGATATAGGCGGCTGCCGGATGCGCACTGCCGCCAGAGTGCTTGCGGCTGCAGAAAGGGGGGAACAAGCAGGCGAACAAGCTGCAGGCCGAGGTGCGTCAGCATCTCTCCTCCCGCGCCGACATCGGGCACGAGGAGAAGGGCCGTCTGCTGTACGCGCTAGACTACTCCAACCGTCGTGTCCTTCCGAGACCACGACATGCGGGCCCGCCCGCGGCGGCGGTGCGAGATCTCGCCGAGATCCTGCCGAGATCTCGCCGAGATCTCGCCGAGATCTCGCCGACCTACAGCCGACGTGTAGCCGAGATGTAGCCGAGATGGTTGGGATGTGCCCGCACGGCGCTCCCCGCGGCCAGATCACTGGAGCAGCCGGGGCGGTGGTGCACGCGGCAGCGTCTTCAACTTCGTCTTCACCGCTCGAGGCGCTGCTCCACCTAGCGCTGCTCGTAGGTGTGGGAGCTGCTGCACCTGAAGCGGCTGGGGCTGCTGCTGCTCTGCGAGGAAGCGCAGATGCAGGAGGGCCACGCCAAGACGGGACGCACTCCCGCGGACTAGCCCTGAGCCGTGCCTCCTCGGCTGCACAGGACGACTACGCAAAGATGGACGCCTTCTCCGTCCCCGTCTACCGGCGCGGCTTTGCCGCGGGCGGGGCGCCCATCCTGCAGGCGAGGGGTGGCCGGCCTGCAGGACATGTCCGGGACACGTCCGTGAGACGTCCGTACCCCGTCCACCACCCAGGCGAAGGTGGTCGGCCTCGAGGAGCGGCACCCCCCCGCGCTCATCGGCGACGTGGTGCGGCTGCGCCTCGCCGAGCCGCCGCAGGAACAGTGTGGGTGGACGAGTCGACGTGTTGTCTCCTCTCCCAAGGTGCGGCTGCGCCTCGCCGCTCTGCCCCAGTTCGACATCCCCTGCCGGCTCGTCGCGATCGAGAAGCGCGTGCACCTCCTCTTCACGCCTGCGCTCTCGGCCGGCCGCGCCGATGGGCCAGAGCGGCACGACCAGCACCCGCTCTGCCCCCTGCTGCGCGACGCGTCCCTCGCCAAGCACCGGGGGGAGGCACCGCACTGCCCTCACTGCCGCCGGCTCCGCGGCTTCGTCAAAGACACGCTGCTCGCGGGCGGACTGGGCGTCGACGAGGCGGCGGTGACAGCAGCCCCTGCCGACGCCCCGTCGCCCTCCCCGCGCACTCGCGCCTGCACGGCCCGGCCCTCTTTCTTTTCGCCCGCGCAGGTCGAGCGCGGCTTCTCTGCCCTCTGCCGACTCTTCGTCGACCCGCCTCGCCCGCGGCGCGACACGACGGCGCCTCGGCGCACGCACGCCGCTAAGGAGGTGACGACTCGTCTGAATGATGACTCAGGCGGCGGCGACACGGCGAAGAAGAGCGAGTGGACTGCCCCTCCCCCCCCCCTCATTTGGATGGGCTGCTTCGAGCTAGGTGCGACGACGGCACCGAGGCGGAGAGCGGAGAGACACTGGGCCACCTCCGATTCGTCCTCAACACGTCCGCCCTCGACCACATGCACCTCGTACTCTCCCGCGCCATCGAGCGGCTCGAGCTCGCGCTGCCCCACGCGGCCTACCCGTTTGGCGTCCCTCTGCTGCCTCGCTGCGCAGGGCCGCCGCCGCCCGACGCGACCGCTGCGGCTCCGGACGAGGAGGCGTCGGCGGCGGAAGAGGCGGGCGCCGCTGAGGCGGAGAGGGCGGCGGCGGAAGAGGTCGGTGCGGGTAGCAGCTCGGACGGCGCAGAACGCGGTGGCGGCGGGGAGAGAGTACTCCCCCCACCTCTGTCCTGGCCAGAACGCGGCGGCGGCGGCAACGGTGGCGGCGGCGGCTTGGCGCCCTTCACTCCGAACATCAACCCGGAGCAGTGGGCGGCGGTGCGGCACATGCTTGGCCCGCGAGAGAGATGCCGCGCCGCGGCGAGGAGGCTCCCGCCTACACCGTCTCTTTTCGGCGCTGAGGTGGCTCGAGATCACGCGAGATTGTCCGAGATTGCAGGCTCCCTCCGTACGTCGTCTTTGGCCCGCCCGGCACCGGCAAGACTGTCGTCGTGGTCGAGCTCCTCCTCCAGCTGCTGGCGACCCACCCCTCGCCGCGCATTCTCTGCTGCGCCCCCTCCAACTCGGCGGCCGACGTGCTGACGGGTCGCCTCCACGACCAGCTCCGAGAGCTGCTGCAGCGGCTCCGGGCGGCGCCGCCCGACTGGGCGCGAACTCCCTTCCCCCCTCCCTCCCCGCCGCCATGGCGCCGACGACGGTGTAAAAAGAGTCCTCGAGTTCACCACAGGCCAACCCCATCTTCGAGCTCGTGCCCGGCTCCGCGCTTGCAGGCCTCTCCACTCAGCTTCGATCCCGACTCCGCCACCTGACCCCCACCCTCACCCTGACCCCGACCCTACCCCGACCCTGGCCCCGACCCTGACCCCAACCCTGGCCCTAGGCTTCGCCACCAAGCCGTGGCTCCGGCTCAACGCGCAGAGCCGCGGCGTCGAGGAGATGCGGCCCCAGCTGCTCAAGTACGCTTGCGTCAGCCCCGAGACCAACCAGTTCGGCGTGCCGCCGCTCGAGCAGCTGCTGCAGCAGCGGCTGACTCTGTGCACGTGCGCGGCGACGCACATGCTGCTCGAGAGCGGCGTGCCGTGCGCCTCCTCGCTGCATGGCGCCGGCCCGCACGAGCCGCCTGCCGAGCTGCTCGACGCCGACGGCGCCCCGCTCCACTACACGCACATCATCGTCGACGAGGCGTCGCAGGCGCTCGAGCCGGAGATGCTGCTGCCTCTCTCGTTTGCGGGACCGCGCTGCGACGTGCTCATGTGCGGCGACCACAGGCAGCCCGCCCCCCCGCCCCCCTAGCCCCCCCTAGCCCCCCCCCCCCCCTCCCTCCGCCTCCCTCCGCCCTGCTGCCGCGGACAGGCCCGTCGCACGTCCCTGACACACCCCTCAGGCAGCTCGGCCCGACCGTCCGCTCGACCTACTGCCGCGAGCACGGCCTCGCGACCTCGATGCTCGAGCGGCTGATGAAGCTGCCGCTCTACGCGCCGCCCGGGGACGGCGCCTCCCCTCCACCTCCCTCCTCCGGCCCTCCCTGCGTCACCAAGCTGGTGCGCAATTACCGCTCGCACGCCGCGCTGCTCTCGCTGCCGTCGCGGCTCTACTACGGCGACGCGGCGGCAGGAGTGCGCCTCTTCCCCGGCTCTCGCCTCTGAGTGGGGTTCCACCTCCCCGCGTGTAGGGAGCGAGCTGCAGGAGTGCGCCGACCCCGCGACGTCGCGCGTGATGGAGGGGTGGGAGGGGCTGCGGCGGCGAGGCTCCCCGCTGCTCTCTCTACGGCGTCGGGTCCGTCGCGAACAGCGCCTCTTCACGTCTCCGGCGGTGAACAGGGTTCCCGCTGCTCTTCTACGGCGTCTCGTCGGCGCACACGCACGAGGTGGACTCACCCTCCTTCTTCAACCCGGTGGAGGCGGAGAAGGTCGCGGAGCTCATCGAGAGGCTGCTCGCCGCCAGCAAGGCGGACGGTACCGGCATCACCACCAACGACGTTGCGGTGGTGACGCCGTACCGCAAGCAGGTGGTCAAGGTAGACACTTCCTAGACACTTCCTAGACACTTCCTAGACACGCCGTACCGCAAGCAGGTGGTCAAGGTGCGGCAGCTGCTCCGCTCGCTTGGGCTGGGCGCGGTCCGCGTCGGCTCGGTCGACGACTACCAGGGGCAGGAGGAGACGATCATCATCATCTCAACGGTGCTCGCGTCATACGGCGACCGCAGCAGCCTCGGCCGGCTCGCGTCGCCGCACAGCCTCATGTCGTCGCCGCAGCGCTTCAACGTCGCCATCACGCGCGCGCGTGCGCTGCTCGTCGTGGCGCGCGAGCGACGAGGAAGCACTCATCACTCACTGCTGGTCGTTGAGCCGTTGCGGTGGGGCGAAGGTGGGCGACCCGAACGCGCTGATCGACGACCCGTCGTGGCGCGAGCTGCTCCGGTACGCGGTCGAGAACGACTCCTATCGCGGCTGCCCCCACCCGCTAATGATGGAGGGCACCGAGGACGAGGCGTCGGGAGGGCTCGATGGCGCGGCTCGCCTGTGAACCGCGCCGCTTCACACTCTCCTGCTGTGAACAGGCGTCTGAGAACACGATGGCGCAGCTCGCCGACCACGTGGCGAACTCGGTGCTGGGCAGCGGCAACGCGGTCGCCATGTTCCCCACCCTCGCGGGCGAGGCGACGTACGACGGCGCGTACGATGAGTCGGACGACCAGCCCTGGCGCGTCATGCTGTGACCCGCGCTAGGCCTATGGGCGGTGGCGCCCTCGCCCCTCCTGCCGTGGTTGTCAATCCTTGCCGCGCATCTGTCTAGTCAAGTACGTATATGTACGTAAAGGTGGTAAAGCGAGAAGAGGTACGTACATAGATAGAACATACACCCAATGACATACGTAAAATATGGTAAATTTGCTTCATGCTTGCTGTAGACTAGGTCCAGCCCAGGGTGAGGCAGATCTGACGTTTATCTGAAAGTATAGAGATGAGAGTGAGATTGAACCGGACCCAATCAAAGTCGGCGGGTTTCGGAGGGGGGGGGGATATGACGAAAAACGGCGGGCGCATTTGGGCACATGACTGGGAGAACTCTGTGGTGGACCCGCTGGGCGAAAGGTTCTCGCAGACCGTTGCTTCCTCACAATGTCGTTGAGCGGAGCGAGTGCGAGCGCGGCGGCCAAGCAGCGGCACCAGGAGCAGCGGCGAGCTGACACGAGCGCGCTCGGTCGCTGATGCGGCGAGGGGGCAGAGGCAGATGCCCGAGCACGTGCCAGAATTTGACCTCGCGTTCATGTCTCAGATGCTGGGCGTTGGAGCCGTCCGGTCGGAGCCAGAAGACCCAGCCACTGGCGACGACGAGACGATCATGCAGGAGGCCGCCGTCGACGTTGCCCTCCAGCTTTTGACGGATGGCGAGGGGCTGCAGGCGCTGCTCGCATCTGATGAACCGAGCGCAGATAGGGTTGCGCTGGAGGGTGCCGACAACGCGTTTGCAAACTCGCGTACCTCACGCTCCGTAGTCCAGCCATGGCCAGTACCCCGCGTCTCAGTGAGACGCGTGGTACCATCCAACTCCGGTCGACGGGCTCGAATGCGCTCAATCTCAGGAGGGACAAAACCACGCGAATTCTGCACGCTAGGGTGCCCACAGGACCCAAAAAAAGGAAATAAAAAACAAATGGGCCGCTGCCTTGCCCAGAGTAACTGATTTTGGCCCATGCGCGTGCTCTTCCTCTTGCTCGCCACGCGCTCGGGAGCCGGAGTGGCGGGGTCGGAGCTGCTGCAACGGCGCGAGTGGCCGCGAGAGGTGGTGCTGGGGCTCTCCAGAGAACGAGGCCACGGCGCGGCGCTCGCGGCGGCGCACGGGGCAGCTTTGAGCAGTGCAGCGCCTCAACAGCAGCTTCAAGCAGTGCAGCACAACGCCAGCTACCTCTCCAGAGCTGCGCGGCGGCTGGCGGGCCTGTGGGAAAGTGCCGTGCCGCGTGCTCGGAACGCGCACTCGGCTCGCTTGCCGGTGGCCGAGTCAGTCTGGATGGCGAGAAGCGCCAAGGCCTTCCCTGCATTCTGGGCGCTGCCCAGCAGTGCACAGTACTCTCGCTGCGCCGACGGGCGGCCTCGATGCGGATTGCCGCGAGTGGCGTGGTGGCCTCCAGTGGTGCGGTCGTTGGTCAACACCGCGGCGCGCGCGCGCCGCGGGTGCTGCACAACAAGCGGAGTGCATGGGCGGGCGCTCTATCGCTCTCCGGCGCCCAACTTTGACTATCGATTACCGCCGGTTATTATAACCGGTGGGAGATCGTTCCTGCAGACGGAGGGATTCAACGCGGCGATAACTGCCCGAGACGTCCCTAACCTTTATTTATTTCTGCCCTGCTTCAGGAACCGGGGGCCGTCTTCCTCAACCAACCAAACCTCATTACCGACTGCCGGTCGTTGGGGACACGTGACTCCTGCAAAGGGCAGTGTCTCCACCCGGGAGTCGGACATTCCAACCCCCCCCCTGCCTCCTCTCTCTCCCCCCCCCATCCTAGCCCTCTTTCTCTCTCCTCCTCTTTCTCTCTCTCCTTCTCCCTCATTCCCCCCCCCTCCCCCCTCTCCATCTCTGCCGCCCCCGTGCCAACCCCCGCCGCCGCCTCGCCTGCCTCCACCTCCTCCGCCACCCCATCTCCCGCTCCCCCCCCCGCCGCCGTTACCCCCCCCACCCCCTCCTTCGCCGTTACCGCCGCTACCTCATCCGTGGCCGCCGACACCAACCCCCCCGCCTCCTCCGCCGCCTCCCTCTCCACAGCCGTCGCCGCCACCTTCACCATCACCCTCGCCCCCCTCTCCTCCACCTCCTCCGTTGCCGCCGCCTCTGCAACCCCCTCCCTGGCCACCTCCACCAAGACCGCCCGCCCATCGACCCTCCCCCCCGCCTCCCTCTCCGCCGCCACCGTCCCCGCCGCCCCCTTCGTACCCGCCTCCCCCTCCGTCGCCACCGCCATCGCCATCGCCATCGCCGGTTCCGCCGCCCCTGACACGCGTACAGCCGCTGCTGCAGCAGAGAGATGGCACAGCTACATCCCCGGTCGGGATGGCGCCAGGTCCAGTGGTATGCGAGGCATGCAAGGAGGAGCTCGGAGGCGACGATACCGGCCCAGTCGGCGCCTTCGGTGGGGGTGGCACACCTCCCTCTGGGGGACGCGCTGGACGCAGACGCCTCGATGGAGCAGCGGAGGGAGCAGCAGGTGGTCCGCATGCTCCTGGCGAAGGAGGGGAGAATGCCGATCACAGATCTGATCCACGCGCACCGAGCTGCTTTCGGCCTGCACCGCCCCGTGTCGGTGAAGGTGGACTTCAAGGCGAAGTCGCTGCGCACGCTACTCGTAGCGCTGCCTGGGCTGGCGCTACCCCAGGCCCCACGCGGGGACGTGCAGATGGTGGAGCTTGCTGCCGTGGGAGAGAGGTCTGATAACGGGAAGCAAGGGCGGTCCGCGGACCGACCCGGCGATAGCGGGGGAGCGCAAAAGCGCAGTCGGCGCAGCAGGCCGCGGAAGGGGAAGGGGGCTAGCTCAAGGCCCACGTCGGGGTCGCAGCCGTCTCCGCCACCGCCCCTGTCCACGCCACGCGCCGGACCCAGTGCAGTGTGTGCGTCCTCCATGGGTGTGACTGAGGAGTCTTCCAATTAGGAGGGAGGACCGGGAGGAGAGGGGAGCCCCCTCGGATGGGGGGCGGGGAGATCGGGCGGAGAAGCCCTGAGTGGTGATGTCGGGTGAGAGTGTACGTCATGCCCGTGTCTAGTGTCTGGTGTTTACTAGCTCCGAGTAGAGGGGGCGTTCCGCCGCTAGGGGACACCCAAAGCGCAGAACCAACCCTCGGAGACCCGTGTTTACTTTAAGGCCCTTGCCCTGCGAACGCGCACCCCCGGGGCTAGGGCTCTCTTGCCCGCAACCCGATCCCGATCATCCGGCCCGCTGGATGCGCTTCTTAGCTCACCGGCCCTGGATGTGAGGCTAATGACTGCACTCCAAGTGCTCCAAGTGCCGATCGCAGGACTTCGTGTTGGCTAGTCGAGATATTGAGAGTGTGACTAGGAGGGTGGGACGCTGGGGATTCTCAAAGGTATACACCCTTGGAATGCGAATGGCCGGATCCAGCCTTAAAAGTACGAGATCGCGCGCGCTTCGCGCACAGCACCGACCGCCTGTTCTCCGCGGCTGTGTGACGACGCGTGCCGTGTACCAGCAGAATTGGGCGCGCGCGGCGCGACGGCGCCCGCGAGGGAAGGCGCGGGTGCAGCGGCCGCCGGCGGCCGTGCCGCCCGCCAGCCGGCGCAGCAGCGGCCAGCGCAGCGGCCGCCGGCGCAGCAGCCAGATCAGCCGGTGCGCGCCTTGCGAGGCGAGTACTGCCGCCCGGCAGCCTTGAGGCGGCCGGGCGGCAGTACTCGTTCGAACTTTGCGAGCCGTGCGCGCGCCGAAGCCCGCGGCGCGCGCCCGCCCGGCTGCCAGTAGGAGGCGGCGCAATATGGCCTATAGTACAGCCCTTGAGGAGGAGGAAGAGGCTGGCTGGCAGTGCTGTATGCCGCCGAGGGGCAGTTTTGGGGTGCTGACCCACGCCCAGGGGGCTGCAGAAGGCGTCCGCAACCGGGACAACCCGCCCCCCCAGCCGAGGCCGGTCGAAGCCCACTTGGACACAGCCATGAGGAGTCCTCTTGGTGCTCCTGGCGGCCGTTTGAACCTCGGGCGCGCGCCGATGGGGGGGGGGGTCTTGCTTGCTCCACACCGAGCGCCATCGGTCCGGACCGGCGTGTCCACCGAGGGTCGGCTTGCACAAGGTCTGAGCCGCGGGCGCTCGGCGCCAAGTGCAGTGTCACGCTCGTGCTCGCGCGTGACAAACCGGACCCTCGTTTCCAACCCTCGTTTCCTAGTCACTCGGTCCCCCAACGGAAGAGGCCTCTCTCCTATTGCAACTGGCCAACATCAGATTTGGCTCGTGCGTCCCTTTTTGAGCGGCGCAAAGCTATTTCTTTTGGGTCCTGTGGGCACCCTAGCACGCCTCGCTGTGCCGCTGGCTTGACTGAATCAGGCAGCAGCAGGCTGCTGCTGCTGCCACAGCAGCAGTCTGCTGCGGCCTCAATACGCAGGTTAATGACTAGCAGCACTGCCGGGGGCATACGAGTCGCCACAGGAACGACCTGCTCGTTGGCCGGTTCCACGTTCACTATCTAAGCCATGCCTGGGCCACAAAAATCGCACACGGGGAGCGGCTCAGGGGCCCAGTCGAAGCCGCGGAATCGCGGCCAAATGTCACAACCCACCTCACCCAGGGCTGGACCTAGTCTGTATGCTGTCACCCGTGGTGCGTGATCCGTGAAGGGACAAGGGTCAAGGCTCAAGTGGGGCCGTCATGTAACGTGTAAGAGAGAAAGAGTAAGTGAAAGCCGTATCTAGAATCTCGAGATACTCTCCGTACTCCGACGCCCGCCCTAAACGAACCCGCACCAGCGGCCGCGAGCGCGTGCCTCGCGCCGCGTGGTCCCGGTGGAGCGCGCTGCGCGGGTCCCTGCCGGTGCTGGTGCCCTGGTCCCTCGGCCTCGACGCCGCCGCCGATTATATTGTACATATATCGTGCTTGATTTTTTTCATTTTGCGAACCGCTCCGCACATATGCATGTATAATGTGTCTATAATCGATGAGAGAGTTGAGACGCGCGAGAGACACGTCTGAGCTCTCTGCCCACGGCGGACGCAAACGCCACTTCAAACGCCGGCGGGAGAATCGTCGTCCACCAGTTCCGGTGGCATGGTCGCATGATGCCCAGTGAAGTAGACTTTTGGCTATACCTCCCGCAAGCTCCCGCAAGCGCTTCGTCACGTGAGCCCACCCCCGCGCGAGAGGGCAGAAGAGACAACAAAATAAAAGGCAAATGTGTGTCCGCGCGCCGCCCGGCCCATATTTCGGCCGGCGGGGCCGCAGCGGTCTCTACTTGAGCAGCGAGCGCGCGAGCTGCTCCCTGGCTGACGCAAACATGTTGTTGAAGGACTGCTCGGTGAAGGCGGCCTGTTGGCAGCTCGAGGCGTGAGGAGACGCTGTCCACACTCCTTGCGCTGCTCTTTGCGCGGTGGAGGAGGCGAGGGCAGAGGCGAGGGCGGTGGCGGCGACGGTGGAAGCGGTGATGAGGGAGGTGAGGAGGGGGGGGGGGGGCGGAAGCGGCGACCTCAGGCCCTGTGGGGGCGCCGTCAGAGCCCTTCATCCCTGCGCGCGGGAGGGAGGCGCGACGGTGCGGCGGTGGAGACGAGAGGCGGAGAGGAAGGGGCGGGGCGAGGAGGGGGCATAGAGCCCCAAGCGGCGAGGCGCTGGCGGACGAGGCCCCCGCCGCTGCCCTCGGCAATCGCTGCACAGCCCCTTCCCTCCCCTCTCTCCCTGCCCCGCCCTGCCCCGCCCTCCCCTGCCCTGCCCTCTCCCCCCCGCCCCTCCGCCCCCCGCTGGCACCTGCGCGGTTGACGATCGTCGTCGGGTCCGTCTCGAGGATGACCCCTACACCCACGAGAGGAGAGGGAGATCGCACCGAGATGAGCCGGCATCTCCCCTCGTTCACCTCGCGCCGCTCTCCTCCATCGCACAGCTCGTCGATGCACAACAACAGCACCTATCATTCCGCCGCCCAAACCCACGCGTCCTCACGCCGCTCCCGAGCCGGGGCCTGGCGGCGGCGCGGCGGAGGCGGCGGAGGCGCATGGAAGCTGTCCGTCCGCGCGCTGCGCCGAAGCTGCCTCGACGCGGTCTCTCGGCTGGATCTCGGCTGGATCTCGGCTAGATGTCGCGCATCGAAGTTGTCCATCAGCGCGCGCTTGTCAGGCGCCTGCAGGACGGTTCCGAGAAGGTTCACGGCCGGTTCCGAGAAGGTTCAGGGGGCGGGTCGGAGGGGGGGTCGGTCGGTGCGTGCGCGCGCTGGTCTCGGGCGAAGGAGAAAAGGCGGGAGAGGGAGGCGGGAGAGGGAGGCGGGAGAGAGGGAGGGAGGGGGAGGGGGGAGAGGGGGGGGGAGAGGGGGGGGGGGAGGGGGGGAGGAGGGAGCGAGGCGGGTCAGCCCCGGTGCTCCATGCCCTCCCTCTCCCCTCCGCAGAGCTGCCATGGAGCTGATCCGGGACCTGGCCGTCGGGTGTGCGTGCGCAGCCGTGGCGGCGGCGAGGGCCGTTGGGGGCGCGGGAGGCGAGAGAAATTAAGCCGAGGAGCGAGGCGGCAGCGAGGGGAGCGGAGGCGGCGGCGAGGAGAGGGGAGGCGGCGGTGGGGAGGGAAGAGGCAGGCGGGCGGCAGCGGCGGGCGGCAGCGGCAAGCGGCGCAAACTATCGGCAGCGGCCTGGCGCAGCACGCTGGTCAGCGCGTCGTAGAGCGCCGTCAGCGCCGCGACGAGGATCAGCTCGTTCTCGGCATGGTGGCCGATCACGTAGAACCACACGTCGGCAGAGTTTCTGTACACTGTCACCATGTTGTCAAACCTGCGGCGCGTGGCAGCGAGGCTCGGTCGCGGCGGTGGCGGCGCGGAGCGCGGTGCGGCGATGTCTGGAGCGGCGGCGTGGCGTGGCGCGCACATGACGATCTCTGCCTCATTCTTTGCGTTGGTACGGATCGTCTTGTCGCTCAACTTCTTCTCGAACGCGGTCTCCTGCGCCGGCGCGGCGACGCCGCGGGTCGGGCGATGGTCCGCGGCGCGGGCGGGCGGGCGGCTGCGGCGGCACCTCCGCCAGGCTCGCAAACTCGCCCTTGTAGTACCGCGAGATGATCCGCTTGCCGTCTGAGTCGAGGACGAGGAGCGACTTGATGGAGGGGATGTTTCCCTGCAGCGCGCGCGCGCGGAGCGGTGAGCGGACGGCGGCGGCGGCGGGAGCAGTGTCGCGACGGTGCGCGCTCGCCGCGTCCATTCGAAGGCGAACCGCGTGCGCTGCGACGCCAAACGCCGGGGCGGGGACTTGGCAGACGTGGCAAAAAAGAAAAAAATGCCCGCAAAACTTTTTCCATTCGTCATCTCGCGGGAAGGTGGAAGCCGCTGCGTGTGGGCCCTGCTGCGTGTGGGCGCTTCTCGCCATGGAGGACAGGTCCAAGAAGCCGTCCGATCACCTCTATTGGGCACGCACCGCGTCGACCACGCAGCCCGTCGAGCACAAGCCGCTCGATGCCGCCGCGCAGGCGGCGCTGCAGTCGGCGGCGGCCAAGCCGGGCGCGGCGTGGAACGCCGCGGCGACGTGGGAGGAGAAGGATATATCCAAGTGGGCGCACGAGCTGCTGAGCTCGACGCTGCTGCCCACGCTCGCCGCCGCTGAGGCGGAGCTGACGGCGAGCGAGGCGGCGGCCCTGCCCGCCGACTCGAGGGGCGCCTCCGGCCTGCGGTGCGCGCTCAAGGTGAGTGCTGTGAGCTCCGTGAGCGGCGACGTGACGCACGTGCTGAGCCGCGGGAAGCAGCGCGTGGTCTTCGAGCTGACGCTCAAGCTCAAGCTCGAGCTCGAGCTCCGCGAGTCCGACGGGACGCTCCTGCAGCTCGTCGCCGGCTCGCTCTCGCTCAGCGAGGTCGCGAACGACGACCTCGACGGCGCGAGGATGCCGTCGTCGCACAAGACGTCGTGCGACCAGCCCGAGTGGGCGCCCCTGCTCCGCGCCGCCGCCGGTCGCGCATGGCCCCCGCTCAAGGGGGCGCTGGTTGCCCTCGTGGAGCAGGCGAAGGAGAAGTGGCGCTGAAGCTGCTTGCGGCGGAAAGGAGGGCCGTGGTGCGAGGGAGCCTGCGCTAGCGCGCAGCTCTCGTCGCGGGCGTGTGCTCGCGCGTGGAGCGGTGCGAGCGCATGAGCGCGTCTTTGTGGCGTGCCCTGGTCAGCTGTCACCGTGGTCTCCCTTGCCGCCGCGGTCTTTCCGGAGGGTGCCGGGCCGTGCGGTAGACTCTGGCAGTCTCGACTTTTGGCGTCACGTGTGCGTGAGGAGCTTAGGCGAGGAGGCGGCGAGGCCCGCAGGTTGGAGATTTTTTGTAGGATAATACATTAGAGGAGAGAGAGAGTGTGTTGTGTGAGACGTCAACCCGCCGTGGCCCGTGGGCCGTGGATCGAGAGCGTGGTAAAGAAACTAAGTAATTGGCAAACTACGGAAAGGAGAAAACACCGACTCAGCTTAGGGGCGGCGGCACGTTGGTTTTTGTAGGATATACATTAGCGTGTGAGACGAGATTTTTTGACCGCAACCGCCGACACCGGAGAAAACGGAAACCGCGCCGCGCACACCGCGTCCCCGGCTCCGCGTGGCTGGTAGCTCACGCGGCGTGCTGGTTGGGCGTGGCGCGAGAGACGTACAGCGCGCTCGCAACACTCACACAAAAAACAGGCGACCGTCAAAGTAACACCGCAGACGAGCTGGGGTGGGTGCCGATGATACGGCATACGCCCGCTCAAGCGACAAGCCCCTCCATCGTGATACAACCGCGCTTGTCGCCCTCATCACGTGGCCTCGGGCTGGTCGACCAGAGATAGCTCGTTGACGTCAAAGTGGCCGACAAACCTGGGCGACTGGAACTCGACCTTGATGGGCCGGTTGGCCGAGATGTCGCCCCTGCCGTACGACTTGATCACCTCCCCCTCCAGCCCCTGCACGTCCAGCCCCTCCTTGTGCTTGGGCACATGCCGCAAGACCACGCGCTTGGAGACACGCACACGCGCGCCCACCGCGATGGTCTGCGGCTGGTCAAGCTTGAGGCCTGCGAGCCCGAGCTTGGCAGACACCGTGCTGCAGCGCCGCGGCGCGTGCGCTGCCCGCCCGGCCGTGCCGCGCACGCCGACGTGTTGCCCGCTTCTCGGCAAATGCTGCGCGGACAGCGGCGGCGGCGGCGGCGCGAGCAGCGGGCTGAGAAGCGCGGAGGCGCTGCTCGCTAGGCAGAGGAGCGCGAGGTAGATGGCGCGGCTCATGGCGCGGCGCACACCCAGTCCACAAGAAGGAAATTCGTGGCCTTTACCCACGGTGTCTGAGGGAGCCCGCAGAAGGAGGCTGATGCGGGAGAGGGGCCTCAACCCGACGTCGATACCTCGGATGTCTCACGAGGCGAGGAGGGTGCTCCAACAACGGGAAGAGGCTAACCAGGGCTCGGTTTCCCCGGTGTGCATCTGGGCCATGTCCATGCCGCCTGGGCCGCCCATGCCGCCCATGCCGCCCATGCCGCCCATGCCGCCCATGCCGCCCATGCCGCCCATGCCGCCTGGGCCGCCCATGCCGCCGAAGCCTTGCATCTGAGATGGGTCATAGCCGTCCATACCCTTCTGGCCATCTTCGTCCTCTTCGTCCTCGTCGACCCACCTGGACCAGTCGGGATTAATCTTCTCGCGCAGACATCCCGACCTGGTCCGCAGCTCTGAGAGGAGGCGGGACACCGTCTTCCTAGACACTCTTCGTAGACACTTCCTAGACAAGAGGGGGCGGGACACCGTCTTCATGTAGTGACGGTCAACTAGGTCCTCAACTACGACCTGCCCGCAAACTCCAAGGACTACATCCACCGCGTGGGCCGCTCCGCGCGCGCAGGGCGAGATCGCGCCGAGATCTCCCCGAGATCTCCCCGAGATCTCCCCGAGATCCGCCCGAGATCCGCCCGAGATCCGCACGACCAGTATGCGCTACGTACCCTCAACGGTGGAGATGGTTGCTTCCCCCAAGGAACACCCTCGGGCGGCCGGGTGGGGCTGCGGCTGGAACTAGCATGGCTCGATAGAGCCGAGACCCCGTGTTGAGGCGGCGCTCCTGTGGGCGGCTTTGGTGGTCGTGCCCCCCGGGGGTTGGCCACCCCTGTGCCTGTCTCCAGTCGAGAGAGGAGACTTCACTGGTACTCGTATCCCGAGGAACGGTCACATCGCCATCGCCGTCGGGGAGAGGGGGGACGACACTGCTTCTGCAGCGTGCACCTCAATCCTGTACCGTGTTTGTTATGACCCCCCCAATGAACACACCAGTGAGGGTGGGCGAGACGATCGAGGGGTCCCGTACCATGCGGAACCGACCCTATCCAGTGCTCAAGTGCTCAAAAGGAGACTTGCGGAGATGGGACATCCGCGATAACTCTGAATGGTTAGTGATTGCGCAACCGGCGCAACTGATTTGTGGCGACAATTGGTGGCACCTTTGTCGGCACTGGTGAAACGACATTGTGTGTCGCTGGTCCAACTCTCCGGGCGGGGGGCACTTCCGTCGTCGACCAGCCCAACGAGAACAGAAGAAATTCCACGAACGGAGGGCTCTCACTTGTGTAAAAGTAATGGGTGTGATTTTGATATAGTGAGGTGGTCGTTTTTATTCATTTATTATTTATTTACATCGATCGTGAATAATTAAACAAGATATCTGGTGGGCGGTGGCTTCGTCTGCGTCACATTCCCAAGCAAGCTGCGCTCGGGGTTGCCGTCGTCGTTCTGCTCCTCTTTGGAGGGTGATATTTGAAAGAAACGAGTTTTCATCGGCGTCGTTGACATTACTGATGGCAGCGTTGATAACGACAAAGGCTGTTTGTCGCCTTGGAGGATGGCCGAAGACGATCTCGCTTTTTGGTTGAGTGTGTCTGCGTACATGTCGTCGTATTTGTCTGCCTTTGCGGATCGCAGTGTGCAGCTTGCGCAAAAGTGGGGAAAGGTCTTTTGGGCATCGACAACGGAATGTTTGTGGTGCAGAAGGTATCCCTGCAACGCTGCTGGCGTGATGTAAAATTTACCGGCCGCATCAGCCGCAGCGTCTTTCAACATGTCCAAAGCTTTGACGTCAGCATCCCGAATCACGCCGCGGTAGAATCCGTCCAGAAAAATCTTAGCTTGCTCAGCGTCTAGCCATGACAAGCAGCACCTCACATCGATGCGCCCATGTCGAAATAAGGCCGCAGGCAAGGACTTCGGGTCGTTGCTTGTGAAAAAGAAGATGTTTCCTTCTTGACTGGCTACCCCATCGAGAGCGTTGAGCATACCACTGACAGTCAACGTGTTGCTCGAGCTCGTCTCCAGCTTTGTCATGATGTGGTCGATATCTTCAATTAGAAACGCACTTTTTGCAGGGGCCGCATTCAACAAGTTGGTGAGAGAAGCGTCGCTCATTCCCTCGCTCGCCAAATCAAGAAGGCAGAGTGAATACCCCATGAGGCCAGTGAGGACTTTTATTACCGACGTCTTGCCAGTGCCAGGCGGTCCGAACAAGAGGTACCCGCGCCGATACGGAATGCCGCGACTGATGTACCATTCTTCAGATGCTTGGAAGTCGGTCAAGTCATCCATTAGCTTGATAGCGAGGTTATCTCTCAAACACAGGCTATCGATAAGTCGTGGCTTGAAATGAGTGGAAATAGCCCAACTTCCATGTGAGCTCGTGAGCACGGTTACATGCCCGCGTCTGCTCACGATGTTGAATTGGCGTGCGTCCTCTGCGAAACTCTCCAGAGCGGTCAGCCCATTCCAGCCGAAGCATTCAATGCTCAAGGTGTCGTTGACCTGGCCTTGCTCGGTGAGTTGGGTCCCGTGTTTTACGGCTCATCTGCAGTGCTTTCGTTGCGCATTGCGCGGCCGCCGAGCAACTTGGCGATGCCGATGGAATGAGTTGATGGGACCTTCAACTATGCGAGGGCTGGGCGTCCTCGTCACGGTGGCAGCAAAAACCGGTGCCGAGGCCCTGTGCGCAGAGGCGTGAGCGCGCGTCAAAACGAAGGAAATTTATGCCGAAAACAGCCTGTATGGTGGGTGGAGGGCTCTGCTGCCGCGGCGCCCCCGTCCGTGCGAAGGCGCCCGGCGGCTGCGCGTGGTGCCCACGCCGACCGGCTGCTCTCGCGGCGCTGAGGCGTACCGCTCCGGTCACGACTCGAATTGAAGGCCGCAATTTTTTTTATTTCTTGTGCCTAGTAATAAATAAATAAAACGGACATCCCAAGCTAGGGCTGGGTCGAGGACAGACACGTCCCCACCTTTGCAGGATTTTGCAAAAAAAGAAAGAAAACAGACAACCCAAAACAACAAATGTTTGGTATGTTTGGTATTGCTAAAAATCTCTCTCTCAACCCAAGGGAGGGATGGGAGAACGGCACGCCGCCTCGCCGCCACCACACAGGGATTTTAAGGAGAGGGGTGTGGTGCGCTAGCCGTCGCCCACCCTTGGGCGTCCGCCTCTTCCTATCTCACTTCGCAGTCTCTCTCCGAGGATTTTGCAAGGATTTTGCAAGAATCGTGCCAGCCATTTGCTGAAATTTTCTCCATCCACGACAAGTCGGAAGTCGCCCATACGGAAGCCCGCGGAGGTTGCCGCGGAGGTTCTTGCAAGTACCGTTGCCTCATGGACTTGTTCGCCGCGGCGCGGCGCGGCGCGGTACCCGCCCTTCGGTCGCTCCTCCGCCCCGAGGCGGAGTGCGACGCGGACTTGCGCGACGACTGGGGCCAGACGGCTCTCATGCTTGCCGCCGAGGCGGGACGAACGGATTGCGTCGCTCTGCTGCTCGCGGCGGGCGCAGACGTGGGCGCGCAGGATGCCGAGTCGGGCTATACGGCGCTGCATCGCGCGCTGCTCCGCGGCCAGATCGCTGCGGCCGCCATGCTCGTCCGCGTCGGCGGCGCGAGCGTCGACTCGCCTCTCGACCACGAGGGCCTCTCTCCGCTGGCGCTGTGCGAGCTGGCGCACGGGCCGGCGGAGTCGGCGGAGGCGACGCTCGCGGGCGACGTTTACACCTGGGGCCAGGCGGGCGGGCTGCCGCTCGGCCGGCCCGCCGCCACGGGGTCGCACGAGGCGCGGCCTGCGCGCGCAAAACTTCCCGCGCCGCCGTCGTCGCTCGAGGAGGGGGCGCTGACGGCGGCGGCGGCGGCGCGCGGGGAGACGGCCGACCCGCGCGGCGTCGTGGCGGTCGCGGCGGCCAAGCACCACACCCTCTTCGCCGACGCCCGAGGCGCACCTCTTCTCTCGTGTGTGTGTGTGTGTGTGTGTGTTTGCGCGTGCGTGTGTGCGTGTGTGTGTGTGTGTGTGCGTGTGTGTGTGTGTGTGTGTGTGTGCACTCTCTACTGGCGGGAAGGAATGATCCGTCGCGAGGGCTCTGACTAGGGACGCTCTTCTCGTGCGGCGTCGGCGGCGGAGGGCGGCTGGGCCACGGGGACGAGACGCACCTGCCGCTGCCTCGCGCGGTGCCGCTCCAGCGTGCGGTGGTTTGTGTGGCGGCGCGTCGCCCTCTCTCTCTCTCCCCTCGCCCTCTCGGAGCGGTGCGGTGAACCTTCTGCGAACCTTCTCCGAACCCTCTCGCAGGCGGGGCTTGACCACTCGCTCGCGGTGACGCGCTGCGGCGAGCAGCTCGCCGCAGGCTCTCAACCGATCGACAGCCCTCCCCCCCACCTTGGTTGACGAGCCGCAGGCGAGCTCTTTGCCTGGGGCGCAGCGCACGCGCCGCTGGGCGTGGCAGACCCGCCCGCCGGCTCGGGCGGGTGTGTCCTCTCCCCGCGCCGCGTGCCGTTCGGGGCAGCAAAGGGGGCGGTCGAGGTGGCGACGGTGGCCACCTCCGACGGCCACGCGCTGGCGGCGGACCGCGCGGGAGGCGTGTGGGCGTGGGGCTGCAACGGGCGCAGCACGCACCGCCGGGCGGGCGCTCTTGCAGGCGAGAGCCGCCTGGCCGAACCTTCTCGGAAGCTTCGCGTAGGCGCGGCCAGTGCGGCCAGCCAGCGTCTGTGGACTGCGCGCGGCCGCGGCGGGTCGACTCGCTCGGCGACACACGCGTCGGCGCCGTCGCTGCGGGCGGGGCGCACTCCGCCGGCGTCGACGCCGGCGGGCGCGTGTGGTGCTGGGGCAACGACGCGGCCGCGCCGCAGCGGCTCAAGATGCCGGCGGAGGAGGGTGCGAGGGGCGGCTGCACGGGGCTGCGGCTTCGACTCGCAGCGCTGCTCCTTGTAGGCGGAGGAGGCGCCGCGGGGGATCCGAGCCCACTTAAGGCGCGGCAAGCCGCTCGCGCTGCAGGTTGCGTGCGGGTTTGCGCACACTGCGGCGGCCGCGACGACCGGCGCAGTCTATCTGTGGGACGGCGAGCTGCGGCCGCGAGTGGTGCGGCCTGCCGGGCGAGGGTTCCAACCAGCCGCTGACCACCTCTAATTCTCACGAGCCGTGGTGCGTCAGGTGCGGCTGCCGGGCGAGTCGGTTGTCTCGCTCTGCGCGTCGCGCTACACGACGTATGCCGTCACCGGCACCGGACTCCTCTACTCGTGGAGCGAGCACTGGCGCAGCCGCCGCACGCGCCGGACCGGGCGGAAGAGGGGATAGCCGCGTCCTTCTTCACACCGTGCGGCTGTACACCAGGCACACCAACCACACGCCCAAGCCGACGCTGGTCCGCGGCATGCGATCCGTCGCGAGGGTTGCCGCCGCAGAGCAGCACTGCGCCGCGCTGGTCGCCGTCCGCCGCCCTCCGGTCGCGCCGCTCGAAGGGTGGCACCGCCCCGCGCTACCCCCTC